CTACCTCAACAACCAAGAATACCTTGAGCTCATAATAATCTCGTGGATTAGAGTTGTGGTCATGATTGGAGGGGGATTGATTAATAAAATAACATGAAGTAAAAGAAAATGTATGCTACCTCTAGCATCCAAGAACACCTTGAGCTTAAATAGACTCGTGAATTACACACGTGGGTACACAACCCTAATCCTCGAGACTATTATAGAGAAAAGGCTTGTCAATCGCATAGAAGATACAACCTTGAGCTTAGGGATATTCCCATTCGAGTCAAATATCTAGGGTTATATCTAGACAGACGTGGATTGCCCACACAAGGCTTAAGAGACAATAACTTAAGGGAAAACTTGGACAACTACGAAGACTTCTAAGACCGACATCCGTCTTGACCTCAGCACTAAACTAATCTGATACAAGGCTTTACCGCGACCACTTTGGACCTACGGAGTTGAACTGTGGGGTTCTGCCAAATACTTAGACAAATCGTTAAATCTCGTTACTATGTACCTCAGTATCCACAACGACTTCAACGTTCTTTGCGCAGTGAATTGGTCAGCTCCCGAATCCAAAAGTTTAACACCAACCTCTCAATTCTCTTAATACTATTTCCCAACTCCTCTCTACACATTCCCATCCCGATAACTCGCTACCTCGCATCAATCGACGTTGGCCTAGAGACCTCCTTGTCCCTTAATCCCTCACACTGTGCCAGCATTGGCTGGTTCTCGTGGCATATTTTATTTCCTGGTCACAGCAACCCTATAGCAAGGGAGTTTAATCATAACTACGTGCCCAGGGCATGTTGTTAACGTTTCCATGCAAATCGAGTTACTGGCTGCTGGATTGGGCCACTCCTTAGGGGTACTGGCGTCTCAAGTTCCAGGTACGGCCCGCTCACATAAAGTCTCATCATTACATAGTAGTTCTCCGTACGATACACGAGAATGACACATCTGCACAGAAAACCAACACTTTGAGCCCTGAAGATGATCTCAATAAAGATCGAAACGTTGACACAATAAAGAAAATGTTTCTCTAAAAACATACGTCACACCAGACCGCATCTGGCTATTGGATGGGGCCACTTCTTAGGGGGTACTTGCGTCTCAAGTTCCTGGTCTGGCCCACTCACATAAAGTCTCCTTATTACATAGTAGTTCTCCGTTTTTACTCGTAGATTCAGCTCTATTGGAACAATTTGTGTAAGAACGCTAGCGGTTGGAAAGAGATCGTCCTGTAACGTCGGATTATTCTGAGTTCCATTCTGCGCTGCACTCTTCTGAATGTGTGTTCTATTGCTTTCTTTAGCAAAGCTTCGCACCACGCAGGGGGAGCGTAGGTAAGGATCGGAAGAGTAGCTCCGAAACCAGATATATGGTTTCCATTGCACCATTTCCAAGTCCCCCCAGTACACCTTGGCAGACCGAGTAAATGCATTTGTTAACTGTGCAGTTTTTTGGCAAAGATTTTCTGTATGAGCTGTCCACAACAAGCGTCTATCAAATATCACACCCAGCTATTTTAGCCTCTCCACCTCCTCCGAATGGTACCCACCAGGAGTACCCTCATCGGAGTCCGATTTCTCTGATTGTTTATATGCAGTATTTTAGATTTCTTTGGGTTAAAGCATAGTTTATTTTTAACAGACCATGTCTCTACTAAATGTAAGCTTTCATTCGCAAGAACCTGACGATCTCATGCATTTCAGCCAGACACTACAAACAACAAATCATCTGCGAAGGCTTTCACTATACCGGAAATAGTATCCCCAACCGGGGGTCATATATCAGTATCCAAAATCCCGGCCCACAACAGAGCCCTGGGGACAGCCTTTTTCAACCTTCCTTTGAGACATGGTTTCGAAGCCCAAAAGGGCTGCTCGCCTTTCAGAGAAATAACTTTTTGCTTATTTGAACATGTTTTTAGGCAATTTCCTTCTTGGAGTCATGCCAGTACAGCCGGCCACCAAGCCGCGTAAACGCTCCTTCCGCGTCCAAAGAGATCATGAGTAGCTTTTTTCTGCAGCGCATTTGAAATGCAAATGAAAAACGTCTTTAACATTCACTAGGCCGTACCCTGTTTTGTGGTAGGAATCCGTATGGGCTTTCTAGAGCATTCTTTTCTTTCGAAAATCGTGCAATATTCTACCTACCATCAGTTTTTCTAGTAACTTGCCTAAAACTGGCAGTAAACTGTTGGGTCTATATTTTGCGGCATCTTCACTGGCTACTTTCCCAGGCTTAACTATTCTCATGGCATGTGTCCTCCGGGTGCAGGGCTGGTATGAAAAACGAACTGCGATCACATTCATTCATAATATGCTCAAATATGTACAGGCTACAAATAGAAAAATAAATAACAATCCAAGCTAATCCAACATCCAAGAACAGCTTAAGCTTATCCAACACCGGTTCGAAGTGTGGTAGACAAGAATAAACGAAGAAAAATGTACTCAGTGTACATTCACATTGAAAAACAGCCTTGCCCTCCGCCGTATATCAACAACAAAAAGACGTTTTAAACAAAGAACGTACGGTCAACGCAAATCATGTTTTAAACAAATCTAGAGATAGTTTTAATTTCAAGAAAGAACTAAAAAGTGCGCAATGCAGGAAACTATAAATCAAAAGTCGCGATAAGCTCTTAACAGGTTCATATCATGAAAATGCTTAACAGTTATAAAAAGAATATAGAATAAGTCATAACATAATTATTGTATATATTCAAATGAATGATTATATTTATTATTATTATGAAATAGAGAATCATTGCTCTAAGCCATTAAGTCTTCATTTATCCAATTCAATTGAATTCTGTGTACTAAGTAATAAAACTGTAAATTTCGTTTCATAAAGCAAAAGTTAAGCTTTTTGTTTGTTATCTTCATCAGTGTGTTTAGATTTTCCAACGGCAATAGGCAGTAACTAATAAGAAGTATTCAAAACAAAACTGAGATAATAGAGTAGTGGGAAAAACAAGAAATTATATTTTATTACTTCCGGTTATTAAACGCAAAAAAATTATGTTTTAAGAGCTTATAACCTTTTTCCTTAAAACTAAGTAATTTCATGGTTGGTTTAGGTTTAGAAGACTTTCGAGTTTATTCAATAAAATTAATGACAAAAATATGCAAAATATATGTTTCCTGTAACCTGGTATTTTGCTTTGTGATAAGACATATTTTTATTTTAGTAAGGAAAATGTTTTATGATTTTTGTTTTTTCGTAAATCGAAAATTACAGTTTACCTTCGGTCTTAATACATTACAAATTATTTTAGTAGTGCCAAGGTATAGTGCCCAATAATTGAAACTGTTTTGTTTCTGACAAAAAATAGAGGAATAATTTTACAAACGATTTATGGTTGACAAGCTCATAAAAATAGGGTGTGTATTTTACGACGTTTTAACAGACACGTTTGCAACACAAAGGACAACGCAGTCACAGGCATTCCAGAAGATTTTTTAAAAACCCAAGATACAGCGTAAACAATATAATTTCTGTTTCATGCGGGACTTTATGGAAATGACCTTGCAAAAATTAAACTTCGCAGGCCTTTTTCCTTCAGCTTTCTCCAGCACGCCGGCGCGTTTTGAACTTGTGCGAACTGAAAGGGAAAGTTTACATAGAGCCATTAAGAAATTTCTCAGTTTCTGAGATCAAGTAGTACGTTTACATAGATTGTCATGGGCTTATTTGATCATAGGTAATCAGTATTTATCTGATCAGCGTTAATCAGTGATCAACATCTTGATTTTAGTCTAAAACTCAAATTCAGTTTAACTCATGTGGTTTTACAAAGTATAAACTTAGCAATAACAAAGTATAACAAAGTTTCCAACAGTATAAATGCTCAACATTGATCATCAGTATATCTCGCTGTCGATTTAGGACAGGCACAGTTTAACTAATAAAATTGTACTAAACAACAAATACTTTGATTGAATGTAAAATTTTCTATCATTGTATAAATTCATTCTTTTAAATCTAAAATTTTCTCATTGTATAAATTCATTTTTTTTTTATCTAAAAATTTTTTTAGCATTGTATAAATTCATTCTCTTTTTTTAATCTAAAATTTTCTATCATTGTGTAAATTCATTTTTTTTAAATCAACAAATTTTCTAGCATTGTATAAATTCATTCTTTTAAATCTAAAATTTTCTATCATTGTATAAATTCACTTTTTTTAATCTAAAATTTTTTTTAGCATTGTATAAATTCATTCTCTTTTTTTAATCTAAAATTTTCTATCATTGTTTAAATTCATTTTTTTTAATCAACAAATTTTCTAGCATTGTATAAATTCATTCTTTTAAATCTAAAATTTTCTATCATTGTATAAATTCACTTTTTTAATCTAAAATTTTTTTTAGCATTGTATAAATTCTCTTTTTTTAATCTAAAATTTTCTAGCATTGTATAAACTCATTTTTTTTCCACATCCAACATGTATTTGTAAAATTTAAACAATGTTTATAATCCCAGGCCCTGAAGATGATCTCAATAAAGATCGAAACGTAGGCACGATAAAGAAAACGTTTTTCTAAACCCTACGTCACACCAGACCGCAACTCACGATCTCCAAATAATCATTAACTAACGGTCACTAAACACCACACATTTTACTAAACGTTAAACAATAAAACTTGATTGTTGAATTGGTTGATCTGAACAAGGATTATCAATGGTCCGCTTGATCTCGCTATTCTTCTGAAACCTGACACAGTTAATAGGTTGTTTCGTTTGTTCATCTAATAGTTAAGTTTTTATTAAATTATATGCAAATAGGAATAAAAATTCGTTTTGATTCGTGTAATTGTTGCTCTGACCGGTGATCATCAGCGGTCTAATATTTCAGACAGACTTCTACGTCAAAAGAGTCTAAATGACATTTGCGACTTCGAAAATAGATTGATGATACCCCTGATACTCCAGAGTAATTTGGCAATTTTCGTCCTCATTTGTCTTATTGTGTCCTAGTTTGATAAATAAAAAATTACCTGCAGTTGGTGTTTTTTGGTAGTGACTTGGTTGTTCAGCTCTCTGTGGTAGTCCTGCGGCTGTTTCGTCTCCCTCCAGGAAGGCGGTCTAAAATAATTCATTAAAGTTTAAATTTAGATTTTTAGATTTTTGGAAAATATCTTTTTGTATGACTTACTGTTCGAAATAGGCTCTATTCGTGACATCGCACGTGGGAAGATGGTTCGACGCCTTTTTGAAAGACCTCCTCCTAGCCAGAAGCGGCACCAGCTCTATTCCACCTGTCCATTCTTCCTGCGGAAAATTTGCTTTAGCCTTTCCCAAATGGCAAATTGTCGCGAAAAAAACGGTAAAAACAGGATGGTTCAGGGCAATGTCAAGGGGATTTGCATACCAGAGAGATTTTCATCTCATATACTTTAATATATTACGAGAAAGATGAGTCATTTACTTTCACCGAAGAAATCTGTCGGGTAAGGAAGCAAAGGTTACTGATGCTACTTCCGACAAACGCGTGGCCAAGATTATCTCCACATCAACGGGTTTCTAATAACACTAATAGCCAACAAAGTAGTCAGTCCATTCATGCAACGTTTTTGAATTTCCTTTTATGGTTAACGTTAGACAACGAAATTTGAAACTAAATGTTTTTCGTACGCACAAAATGCACCTTTTTGTAAGACAAAAATTATGCAAGAGGTAAAAAATAAATAGCTACATGATTAATCTTCTTGTAAAAAAAAGGCTTGAAAGAAGAGAAAACTTCTCAACAAACGTGCAAAAGAAAACAGCATCCTTGTCTCATACTGAATCAACATTGTGTCCCACTGGGTCCGTCTTTACTCGCCAAACCATTTCAACAAAAAAGGTCTCTGATTGACAGCCGATGCGAGTTTTTTCTCATTGTTGGCGATGTCCTTCAGAATACTCTTTGCTTGGTGTCCATATGTAGTTGAAATCTGTTCATAGAATACCATATTCTTCGTTCTTCTCGTGTAGAAACTCGCATCGGCTGTCAATCAGAGAACTTTTTTGTTGAAATGCAGACAACACAAGGCCCTGAAGATGATCTCAATAAAGATCGAAACGTTGGCACGATAAAGAAAATGTTTTTCTAAAACCTACGTCACACCAGACCACATCTCACGACCTCCAAATAATCATCAAGTAACGGTCACTAAACACCACACATTTCTATACGAGAATAACGAAAAACATGGGATTCTATGAACAGATACAGATCAGAACTACATATGGACACCAAGCAAAGAGTATTCTGAAGGACATCGCCAACAATGAGAAGAAATTAATTAAGGTTTTGGTTGAGACAAAAAAGTCAGTGTCACAAGTGGATCGAAGTCACGAAAGCTCAAGTGGTAGAGCAGCGGCGTATCTAGCCGAAGATCGTGGGTTCGAATCCCGCTCGTGACATTGGCTTTTTTACCTCAACCAAAACCTTAAGTAATTGAAAAGATCAAAACGTTGGCACGATAAAGAAAATATTTTTATAAAAACCCCGTCACACCAAACCTCATCTCACGACCTCCAAATAATTATTTTCAATGTTTAATGTATACAATAAGAAGAAAATTTCTTGATAGAAGTTAACTGACGCTATAGTGAAGCAGACGATAAATTTTGCAGAGAATTGTAAATTAACAGAATATGATTGTCAAAAATGTGGCTTTTTAGTAATTTATATAATATATCCATTTTATTTAGTGGTCTATTGACCAAATTACATTTTTCAATTAATTAATCTTTTTATGTAAGGTTTTGGTTGAAATGAAAAAGTTAGTGCCACGAGCGGGATTCGAACTCACGACCTTCGGCTAAATAGGCCGCTGCTCTACCACTTGAGCTATCGTAGCTCGTGGCAATAACTTTTTAATTTCAATCAAAACCTTACATAAAAAAATTATATAATATAATTGTACCGTTTGTCTAAAAACTATTTAAGCATTAATCAAATAAAAGGGGTGGACTGTCAAAGATATATACAAATCGTCGCCGGTGAATATGTATTTATTTTTCTCTTAAGGCCAAGACTATGACGAACAGGTGAAAGTGCCTCCAACAAACCCCGGACTATTACCGTAGTCTGTTTGCCGGAGGAAACACTGTCAGGTCTTAACAGGACTGACCCGGGACCCGGTATTGTAAATAAGAAAAAGAAGCGATTCAATAGACGATACGACGTCATGAAGTTTGGCGGACCGTTGTGTAAAGTATAATGGACGCCTAATGGCCCGACGGCGGTTTGCATTACTGGCCTTAGAACTGCGACCTTTTGGCGGGAATTTATGATTGATGCGCCCCGCGTGAGAAAGCTCGAAAAAGAAACGTAGCGGAATTGAATCGTAATTTATCTCGGCCTTTCTTAGCGTTTACACCGCAAACAAGGGCAAAACCAATTGGCCGGCCGGGTACATTTTACCGGTCCCGCAAAGATTGTCCGGGAAAATCGTAAGCGAATTGGAATTCATTGATATCAAAGAGTTCAAAATACAAGCCATCAGTGAAACATCCTCATGTACCTCAGGCGTCTTGAAATGGAGGTGGTCGTTCTGGGCCTTCTGAGATATCATCGGGTGCTCCGGTACGGCTAGGTGGTCCATTTGGTCTTCGAGCTTTCTGAAGGCTTTCTCTCCCGTCCACCCCTACTTAGGGAAAAAAACATTATTGATCAAAATGCCAAAATCTGAAGTTATTCCATATTTACCAAAGAATGGAGGAAGTTGTGACCTACTTGTCTGGGGTGCCTCCATTGCTGGCCGCCCGGACCAACTTTGCCCCACGGCGGTTCCATACTTGCCTGATAATTGTATAATTAATTTACATTAATTACCATACTGGATAATTGATGGGAAGAGTTTGTGCCTTTTGATGCATTGTTAAATGCATCTCTATCTCTCTCACGTAAAAGTGAAGCGGGATGGAAATCTTATGAATGTGCTTTTCACAGACGAAAACATCTCTAATTTTAACAGAACCTACTTCAGAAAATAGTTCACGTTATACTTTATACTTTTACTTCCTCTACTTCCTAATAAAACCCCTTTTTCAGAATCTAAATTAGGCCAGTCGGTTATTAACATATACATGTCATAATACTTTGTTTAAATATAGTTGGCGATTTAATTTTATTATAAGTAAGAACGTGAAAAATTTAGGAAGGAATTAGGGAAACGAGCTACACGGCTTATAATTACACGTATTATAACCATTTGTAATTACGAAATTGTTAACTACCTATTAATCGATCTTTCTTTTCTTACTTTTTACACATAGGCGCCTTTTGAGCCGTCCTTTATTACTCTTCTCATTAACCGACTGATATTTCTTATTCTGCCGGTCTGTATCTTTACTATGTTTTGTATTTACATATTTCTGTCTACGTCTATTTTTCTTACTTTCTTATTTCGCCACTCTGTTTTTCTTTTTTCTTTTTTTCTTTGTCATTCTCTCTCTCCCTCTCTCCCTCTCTCTCCCTCTCCTTCTTTCTTTCTTGCCTTCTCTCTCATTCTATTTCTCTCTTGCTCTCTCTCATAATTTTACTTTGTTCTTTCATTCTTTTTCTCTTATAATTTCCTTCTTTTTACTCTCTCTTTCTCTTTGTTTCTCTACCTCTTCCTCAGTCTCTCTCTCTCTCTCTTTCTCTCTCTTCTTCATCTTCTCTCGTTTATTCTTTCTTCCTTTTAAGTTAAGCGGTAGAAATGTTCACGAGACATAACTTTGCGTGGTAAAATAAAACAATCCATCTTCATTTCTTCTTCTCTCGCTCTTTTTTCTTTTTATCTGTCTTCCTTCCTTTCTCATTCACACTATATTCCTTTTCTCTCTCACTCTCGCACTCCCTATACCTCTTGTCCTCTCTCTCTCTCACTCTCTCTCTCTCTCTCTCTCTCTCTCTCTCTCTCTCTTTATTTTACTTTGTTGTCTCATTATTTTCTCTTACAATTTTTTTAAATCTTCCTTTTTCTTCCTCTTCTTCAGTCTCTCTCTCTCTCTCTCTCTTCCTCTTCTTCACCTTCTCTCGTTTACACTGTCTTCATTTTCTACATCTTTTCCATGTTAAGCGGTAGAAACGTCCACGAGACATAACTGCGTGGTAAAATAAAACATTCCATCTTCATCTCTTCTTCTCTCGCTCTTTTTCCTTTTTATCTTTCTTCCTTCCATTCTCATTCACACTCTATTCCTTTTCTCTCTCACTCCCTATACCTCTTGTCCTCTCACTCTCTCTCATTATTTTACTTTGTTCTCCCATTCTTTTCGCTTACAATTTCTTACTTTTTACTCTTCCTTCCTCGTTGTTTCTATTTCTCTTCTTCGTCTCTCTCTCTCTCTCTCTCTCTCTCTCTCTCTCTCTCATTATTTTACTTTGTTCTCTCATTATTTTCTCTTACAATTTTTTAAAATCTTCCTTTCTCTTTCTTTCTCCTCCTCTTCTTCACCTTCTCTCCCTTCCTCTTCTTCACCTTCTATCGTTTACTCTCTCTTCATTTTCTACATCTTTTCCATGTTAAGCGGTAGGAACGTCCACGAGACATAACTGCGTGGTAAAAAAAACATTCCATCGTCACCTCTTCTGCTCTCACTCTTTTTTGTTTTTATCCTTCTTCCTTCCTTTCTCATTCACACTGTGTTCCTTTCTCTCTCTCTCTCTCTCTCTCTCTCTCTCTCTCTCTCTCTCTCTCTCTCTCTCTCTCTCTCTCTCTCTCCCTCTCTTTCTCTTCCTCCCTCCCATCTCTACCTCTAGCTGGATATGATATGCACAAGCATTCTTCAATACTTGTTACTTAGTCGATATTTTTTAAATAGGGTCTCAGTACATGTAATGGCTGCTAAATGCTATAGTTAGGTTCTAAAATCACTTTTTTATAGATTTTAAGACAAATAGATAGCTTTTGATAAAGGTTTCACAAGATTCTTTTACATAAAGTAGCATCCAAATAACACAGTGATTTCTTTTTTTCGGCAAAAAAACAGTTTTCCCCTGCTATCTACACCACACAATGTCGGTTGTGACCACGTGGGTCGCATACAATTTTTAAATCCTTCAGAGAACAATTACACGTTAGTGAAATCGCTAGCAAGTTGCGCGGACAATTTACGAAAATTAAATCTGACCGGTTAATCCGAAAGGTCACATCATCGTCAGGCGTGTGTGCCTGAAAAGTGAAAATTACTTGTCCAAATCCACATCCTCAACCTACGGGGTCGGATCTAACGGAAAGATTTCACTATTTTCGGCCAACCCGACAACAGGAGATTTTGGATGTTTTTGCAACATCGTTGTATGTGTAGTCATGTTGATTTCTTTCTAAAAAGACAAACATAACCGGATACTCGTATTTTGTTGTTTATATCAAACTAAATGTATTTTATTGTTATATTATTTACAACATACTTATTTCATTATAAAACAAATTAATCGAGAAAAGAAAACTCACCAAAACACTGGAAAATCTTTAGTGATAGATTGAAATTTAACTAACAATCTGGCGGTAATTTAGTCTATACAGAGGAACTTGCTCTTTGATCGTTGATCCACGAGGCATTTTACTTTTTTTAAGCTTGTATACCTCTGTTATTGAATGTATTATAAGGTTTATTTTCTACTTTCTTTATGAGAACTATATCAGGTCAAGGTGCAGCAATAAGGAAGCTAGTGGTCGGTTACTTTTTTATTAATTTAGGATTTACAGATGGAAAGTTTGTAATGAATGAGGATTTGATAGTAATAGTTAATATCTTAGCTCTAGATTATGCACACATCGCTCGTCGCTCTTGGGAGTTTTACTCTTAACAGTAACTCTTAGAAGGTAAACTCTTCTAGCATCGCGGAGAGCCTTAGGTTTTCTAGGCATCGAATGAATAAGCGATCGGATTTCGTCTTGAAAAATCCCATTCTTCAACAACAGCTGTTTGAAGCTATTCAACGCATGCTGGAAGCCGAAAACATGTCTAATCCAACTCTTTATCATGTCCCGTTCTATGGGATTCATGTCAGGAGGACGTGCTGTCCAATTCACTTTGGTAAGCCCTATATCCTCCTCAACAACTCGAGCTACATGCGGTCGAGCATTACCATGCATTAACATAAAGATGTCCGCAATCTTATGGGACCACAGAAGAATTTCCTCGATGTATCTCAAAGATCCATCCCATGGACGTTAATTCCACTCCATAGCAGAACTGACCTTCTTTCGAAAGGCTGTAACTCACGCATGGCACATGAAGCAAATCGTTCTCCACGTCTCCTCAATTCAGATCCTGGTCATCTGATTGACCATGATTGTTTTAGAGCTTAACCTTACATTATAGACCGTATGGTGTTGATTATGTATCAAGGAAGCCGTTAATTGACGGTTCCGTCATGAGATAAGAGCATTAAAACGATAGTCTCTAGCCGTCATTGCAGTGGACCACTACCTTACCTTCATCCGGTAGTCCCTAAACTGCTGTAGACCATCGTGGATGGAAGAGCATGGCCCATCCAAGTCTTGGGCAATATGACAGGGTCTTGGACAAAGCTTCGACCCGGGCTCGCTCTTCTCAACTTCAAACCATTAAGAAAACAAATAAAAACAGCTCACTCGATAAGTTGGTTAGGAAAAGGATGAAATTGAACTGATTTCTTTATTTTTAATCGTATTGTGTTCACATTTTAAGTCAACTATTATTCTGTATACGTTGTTATTATCCAAAAAATGTTTTGTCTAAAATGTAAGATATTTACAGATACTTTTTTGTCTTCTGTTTGACCATGATAATCTGCCTATTATCTCTGTATTTTACATCATTTGGCGATTTTACGGTGTTCAATTTGGTTGTTCCTCTCACTTGTTCAATTTTGTATTGTAAATAATTACTCAATAAACCTGAGTTCTTTTTATAATCTAAGATTTATCGGTATGACAAAATTTTGTTTTATACGTTTATAGCCTGAGATCCAGCGCTGTTTTTCGGTTGAAGGTTCGTCTCTTTTGTCTTCGTAAGTCAATAAAATATTAGGTTAGGACCAAACCTAGCGGTATTGTTGATTTCGTTTGTATATTGTGTAAAATGTGTGTGAGTTAACTGCAGAATATTCGTAATCTGGTTCAACTCACAAAACGGTACAAACTTGATGTTAATTAATTTCTAAATAATTTAAATAACAATTACTTAGATTTAAAGTGGGGTCGGATTAGTTTTAACACGTGGTGAACAGGTGGGAACATGACGCAGCTATTAACGTCATGCCATCGTAATTGGTTAGAATTCTCGAGTTTAGAAACGTCATAAATGTAACATTTTTACAATTATCCTCACTGGACTATTCAAAAGTGCTGAAAAACTAACAGACAAGGAGGTTGTTGAAGAAATAATTTGTAAACAGTTAATATGTGTAGAGAGCAGGTTGTAGGTGAAGATTAATAAGAAAGCATACTTAGCAGAAAAGTCCGACTTACGTTTTGCACGTCTTGGTTCATGTTCCGCCTCATCTCTTGTTCGCGGAAAGCTCTCTTCTCGTGGAGGATCCTGTCTAGAACAGAAACGTGACGGGCAGGTCGCCGGGGGCGGTGCAAGGCAGTGCCCGCCTGCAATCGACCCAAAGACCCACTCTCGCCCTCGATCATGCACAAATATGATTTACACACACGTATTTATTGTTTTTGATCAATCCCTCTCGGGAACGTTTGAGACGTATACATTGACCGGCATGATTTCAAACCATATAAGGGGAAACTGGTAAAATAAAGTACGAACCGTGGGTTAAACTGTACCTGCTCCTCGTATTTTCCCATAATAAAACATTGCCATTTGTTAAAATTATATAGGGAATCTTCTCTTTATAGTTAAATTGTGCAGGAGAAAACAGTCAATTCTTTAACACGAGACAAAATTGAAGTTTAACTACCATTTTCTCTTTGTTATATCATGAAACGATCAAATTTTCTTTTCCTTTCCCTGTCCTAGAATCACATCATCATTACTGTACGGCCTTACAAAGCTAAAATAATCTATCAAAACTTTTCCCTTTTTGTATTTTTTGCCCTTAATTCGCTATTTATGGACTAACATTCAGGTCCAACCCATTGAAAAGTCGGTCTTTCCGATTTTTTTGGTCTGCTTGGACCTGTCTTCCGACCAGGACCATATACCGTATAAAGTATACAACGGGCCTAATCGATCCAATCACATACATCATTCTGCACATATTAAAAAATATATTATACCAAAACTGCATCTAATTACACACGGCATTCAAACAGCAAGGCAGAACGCAAATATTTTTATCTTAATGAATAAATACACCTACCGAAAGATAGATTAATAATAGACAACCTTAATTCAGTCATACTCGCAGAACTGTTCTCGCAAATCTTTGAAGTGGTAACCTCTCCAAAATTATGGTAAAATACACCATAACTCAAATACACATTTAAACCCTGAAGATGAACTTCAAACGGCCATGATTCCTAAGTGTAACGTATTTATTTTACGGTTTCCCAATTACAAATGTATACAATAGAAGTATAAAGATTATAACTGTACATAAACTTACAAATGTTTATAATAAAAAAATAATAAAAAATAACAAACAAGCAATTTAAAATGAATTGAAACAATTTGAAAAATGAATTAAAACTATATAATTATCAATTATTAATTATAACCAAGATTAAATATTTCAATTAATTATTCTTTTTACGTAATGTCTTAGTTGAGATGAAAAAGTCAGTGTCACGAGCGGGATTAGAACCCACGACCTTCGGCTCAATACGCCGCTGCTCTAACCAACCACTTACGTCACGATAGCTCAAGTGGTTAGAGCAGCGGTGTATTGAGCCCAATGTTGGGCAAAAATTAGTCATGTCTAATGATTAATGATTGATCACTCAGACCGTTGGTCGTGATTTGTAGTAAGTGACTAATTTAGTCATTAGTCGCCATATGTGATTGATGGCTAAATTAGTCATGACTAGTAATTAAATACGAGACATGACTAATCTAGTCACAATATAGTTAGTCATGACTAAATTTCGATAAATCATGTTCAAATGGGTGCTCAATAAATGAAAAATACACTTCATCACTTTTTAAAAAAATTCTAACAGAAATTTATTTCATCAAAACGAAAATCCTTCAACACCTTATTTAATAAAAATCAATCTTCCAATTATAAGTAAAACTCCGTCGTTATGAAAAGCCAAAAAATGATGATAATGATAATAATAATAATAAAATAAAAAATCCTAGAACAAGCTTCACTGTAGTAAATATGTTTACACAACCGATCAATGGAAAAAATATTTCTTTGAATTAAAATTTATTCCATCTTAAAAGAAGAGATTTCTATATTATTTGGAATATACACCATCTAGGGGTCTTGATTGTAAAAAATAGACCTTTAGAAAAATTATGTAACTTTGGTTTTCGTTTATGATAACAATTTTTGAAGGTTGGCCTTGAGCACGACTCTCATCTCAAAATTATTTTTATGCGGAGTCTGTTGGATTTTGGTAAGTTGGTCATTGTAGCCAGAGTTGAGCAAAATCTAACTAATTCAATCATGATTAAGAATTTTGATTGAAGTTTAATCATGATTGAATTAGTCATGAGTAAATTAATGATTATATGATTTAGTCATACCTCATGATTGAATTAATTATGATTAAATCATATAATGATAAATTTACTCATGACTAATTCAATCATGATTAAACTTCAATCAAAATTCTTAATCATGATTGAATTAGTTAGATTTTGCCCAACTCTGATTGAGCCGAAGGTCGTGGGTTCGAATCCCGCTCGTGACGCTAACTTTTTCTTATCAACCAAGACCTTAGATAGAAAGGATAAATACTTAAAATAATTTACAGACCATAAACATAAAGAGTTCGATACAAGTTGACTGAACAGAAGTGATATTAAAAATGGTAACACATCAAACTGTGTAAAATAAATTTTCATTACTATCCAACTACTAGAATTCAACGATAAGGATATATAAACACAATTTAAAATTATTGTAAATTCTTATATATTTTTAAATAATCTACTAAAAACAATAAAATGTTTCATTTTCATTATATTAAAACGTGTAGATTTAGCGGTCATAATTGACCATATTAATTATTTCAATTAATTTTTCTTTCTATCTACTGTCTTGTTGAGATGAAAAGTTAGCATCACGAGCGGGATTCGAATTTGGCATAATTAGTTCTATGGCAATCAATGGAGAAGTTGTAAAAGGGCAATCAGTTAAGGAATGTAATAATTTATGTGAATTAATTAAATAAATTCTCCCGTAAAGAAGAAAACATAACAGACAACAGGGTCTACAAAATATACACAATCAATAAAATAGTAAACCAAAGACATGCACAAAAACAAATTGACGCCTCAACAACAATAAACGGCCCACATTCACACACAAGGATTGAGACGTACGTAACCAACCAATTTAATAAATTAGGCATAAAAACAGCAAGTATAATATTATAAAACACCTGAGGTAAAACAAAGCTAACCCACTAGTCCAAAAACGAGATATTAATTAATAGCATGCGAATACCCGGATGAACCCCAAGACCGAACTGACGGTAGACCTAGGCAAGTGTGCTACCTTCATGGACCTTCAAAGTGAAAACTTATTTTTTCAAGTCCTCGTATCCTGGCTAAAACAAACATTGAACTTCGGTGGAAATAATATTTGAATTGTTTATATCAGTTTAAAAATTGTTTCAGTTGAATTTCTCCAATAAATCTTGATAATCTGGAAATCTATTTGTCGTGGTGAAAAACGTATTTATTCTTAGTTTTCATCCTGATTATTTCAAGCAAAATTTCACTTTTTTTAGTGTCTAAATAGAAACCACGTTTTTGAGGTGAAATCACTCAGTACAATTTCCAATCTTGAATTCTGGCAATTTGATTTAAAATGAAAATCAATTAAAATCTATTTTCTCGTAAGATTTGATTTGATCTGAATAAATTTACACGGGGTTACAATATTTTTCTCAGATGGGCAAGCTGTATTTTGTGTGTTGTTTCCGATTGTTGTAGTTGTTGTAGTTGTATAGAGGGTTCCAAAACCAACAACGGTACGGGAGCTGGGTGTCTTTGGGATGAACCCCAAGACCGAACTGACGGTAAACCTAGGTAAATATGCTACAGTTTTCCAGTCTGAAATCATAGCGATTGAACAATGTGCCAGAGAAATAAAAAGGATAGGCATATATTCCCGGAAGATAGCCATTTTCTCTGACAGCCAGGCAGCTCTCAGGGTCTCGAGCCTCATGCGAGGCGAAGGCAAAGTGTTTGGAAATGGCGTGGCGGCCCTGACGGAAGTCACCGACACTAATTAACTGGCGTTGGTATTGGTCCCTGGACATTTGGGGCATAGAGGCAACGAAAAGGTTAACATGGCCAAAAAATGGAGCCAACATGGACTCTATGGGTCCAGAACCCTACTGCGGCCTACAGCCTGCCATAAAAGAGGATAATCTTAAAATCCTTAATGAGACCAAAACCTGGTGGAACAATACCACAGGTATGAGGCACGCGAAGAGATTTATTGAAGGACCGCAAAACTTACGAAAGAATTACTGGAAGGCAACCGCAACCGAACCAGGATTCTGGGTGGACTCCTGACAGAACACTGCCACTTAAGAAAAAACGTGCACCGGATAGGAGTACAGACAGAAGAAACGCTGTGCAGATACTGCCAGGAAGAGGAGACCGCAGAACACATTTTATGTTTCTGTGAAGGTGTATGTAGGTACAGGTTCTTGCAAGTACGACAAGAAAAACCACAAGCAAGATCCTACATCAAGGAACCGCTGGCAAAGCTGTGGAGACTGGTTAATACCCTGAAGCTGGCCAATGAGTTGTAAATAACAGAGGAGCACAATAGATCTATTCAGGTCGAGGTTCAGTAGGCCTTGTGGCCGCTTCTCTTATCCCTATCCCTATCCCCGAACATGCGAATACGAAGTCATCGTTGACAGGAAGAAAAATAAAGCACAGATACAAAGAACATTTGGAGTCGAATGGAAATCAAACTCGCACAAAACCAACACGCACCATCAACAATACAAGCGAGTTTAACAATTACTACATGACGTACAAAAAAAAACACGAAAAATGAGCAAACAGGAAGACTTATAAATACAAACTCCTCTCATTAAGAAGTAAAAACTCATGAATACTCAAGACGAAAACACATACATCATTTACCCACTTTAAGACATATAATTAAAAAGGAAAAGGTCGACGATCAAAAAGATTACCAGGAACAAGCCTAAAAATTTAAAAATAATCCATCGAAGACGCCAAAATAGCAAAGACAACACCAACTCATTCCTTTTTTAGTCATATTTCAGAACGAACGTATAAAACGGATCATCTACTACTGTAGATGGCGAGAATCCTGAAAACAGAAGAATTTGAACAGACCAAAACTGCAATGCCGGGCAGACCAAATTTGGAAAAGTTGAAAATTTATGTTCATCCCGCAGACCGTCCTCAATATCAAATCGCACAATCAATCTGTCTTTTCAGTTTCAGAAGAAGAAAGTTTCATAAGCAATAACTTTAAGCATTAAATTATAGTTTCTTCAGGAATGAATTGTTTATAAGGCGTGTAGAAGCTAACTCAACTATTTTTTATAGATATATTTGTCAGCCCATACGTTTTTATGCCGTCTTAGGAATAGTTTAGAAAACTTTCTACACGCTTACGACCGAGAACATCCTAGGTCAGACGAACGTCTCTGAGCCATTACCTCGTTACATAATGGAATTCCAGTTGATTATAATCAAGTCTCTTACTATTATCACTTTCTCTGGCAATCTGAAGCAAATAATCAATCTGTCAACATAATAAGCATAACACAACATATATTAAACGTTCTGTTTCGTGTTTTCTGCTTTTGACGTAAAAGTTGCAATAAAAAAATTCAGGCTTCGCCAGTGTTCAAGTTTGTAGGAAGTGTACCACACACTTCCACAGGAAGGTCTTAAAATTCTGAGAGCGTAAACTCAGCAGTGCAAAATGAGTCACTGAGCTGATTTTCTAAATGTTCTCTAATTGGGTCAGATAAGGCCGTGATTGAAGTCGTTCTTTAATTAACAATATATAAAGATATAATTATTTAATTTTTTCTTGGAATGATAATTACCGAGATGCATCCTGTACGCTGCTTTTTCTTGGGGAGTTGTCATGTACCGCCAGTGGGTGTCAATTGATCTTCGTACGTCCTTTTGGTACTGATACCGCAATATTTGCTCGGCCCCTCTTGAAAATCGAACCTGTTTTTCTGGCAGATACGGAAGTTTTCCTTCGCTTTTGCAAGTCGCTTCCTGCCCCAGACAATACAAACAATACAAAAGACAAAAACAATTTAGCTTTTAAACTCTATCTATTTTGCATCTTTCAATATTCAAGACATTAACTTGATATGTAAACAAAACATTTTAATATAATTAACAGTCTGCCTCACTTTTATTATTTTGCGTGATATGTCAGAATAGTCGAACTATGCGATCAGAAAACTATGAGAAGTTAATTTTTTTAAAAAAGCTTGGCGTGCATTGTAATCACTGTTTTTTTTATATTCAACTTTACACGTCAAAGTTGCAGGAAATTTAGGTTCTATTTTTTCTATTAAAATGAAAATGCTCATTTTTAAATATTTTCGTGGCTTTAAATTCGATAAAAGACCCAATTATTTTCATAAGAATAAAGAATAAACGACTTTTTTATTAAACAACTAAGACTATCAAACTAATTTAATTATTATATTAGCTTATTCTCTAATATAATTATATTAAATGGTCACAGTTTTTAATAAAGTGGGAAATTCTAGCTGGTTTCATTAAAAATGAGATCGTTATCATAGCTGATTTTTAGTAGAATGTTGATCGTCATTCTAGTTCTTTTTGATAGAACGTAAAACATTATTCTAGCTGTTTTTTGTTAGAATATAGATTGACATTCTAACTAGTTTGTATTAGAACGTAAACCCTCATTCTACATTTTTTCGTCTTTTTTTATAAATCGTCATTCGTTATTCTAGCTTTTGTTAATCAAAATTAAGCTTGTCCTTATAACGGGCAGTTATTGGAATGAGATCTTGTCATTCTAGCTAGTTTTTATTGGAATGAACCATGTCATCCTACCTAGTTATTCTTGGAATGAGACCTCATTCTAGGAGGTTGTTAGAGTAATAAGGCTTGTTAATTTTTTATTTTATTTTTTATTTAACGAGGGTTCGCAATTGCAGAGGTCATATAAACCCTCAGGGTGCCGGTGTTTTTGAAAAAAAGACTATTTGTAAGTATCACCAGCCCTGCATTCGAACCCGGGACCTTTAGCTTACAGTGATGAGCGCCGTGTCAACGCCTAAGCCGTTGCGGCCACCGACGCCCCTAGGACTTATTATTCTAACAAATTTTACCGGAATGAAATTTGTTATTCTAGCTAGTTTTTATTGGAGTTTGACTTGTAATTCTAGGTAGTTTTGTTGGAATAAGAGCTGAGAGTAATAAAACTTGTTATTCTACCAAATTTTATTGGAATGAAATTTGTTATTCTTGCTAGTTTTTATTAAAATGAATTTGTTACTCTAGCAAGTTTTTATTGGAATTTGACTTGTAATTAATTCTAGGTAGATTTTTTGGAATGCTGACAGTAATAAAACTTGTTATTCCACCAAATTTTATTATCATCAAATTTGTTATTCTAGCTAGTTTTTATTAGAATGAATTTGTTATTCTTGCAAGTTTTCATTGGAATTTGACTTATAATTCTAGGTAATTTTGTTGGAATGAGATCTGAGAGTAAAAAGACTTGTTATTCTACCAAATTTTATTAGAATGAAATTTGTTATTCTAGCTAGTTTTTATTGGAATTGGACTTGTAGTTCTAGGTAGGTTTTTGAAATAGACCTTGTCATTCTAGCTAGTTTGTAATAGAATGAAAATCCTCATCCTACATTTTTTCGTCTTTTTTTATAGATCGTCATTCGTCATTCTAGCTTTTTTTAATCAAAATTAAACTTGTCCTTCTAACGAGCAGTTATTGGAATGAGACCTTGTCATTCTAGCTGGTTATTGGAATGAACTTTGTCTTTCTAGCTAGTTTATATTGGAATTTTACTTGTAATTTTAGATATTTTTTGGAATGATACTTTGTCATTCTATACGATTATTAGAATGAACTTTGTCATTCTAGACTGTATTGGAATTTGACTTGTAATTTTACGTAATTTTTTGGAATGAGACCTGTCATTCTAGCTGGTTATTGGAATAATGCCATTCTAGCTAGTTTTCACGGAACTTGGAATGACCTCATTCTAACGGGTTATTATTGGAATGAGACTTTGCTTCCTAGTTTTTATAGCAATGAAACTTTTTTCTTGAAATAAGAATTGTCATTCTGGCAGGTTGTTATTAAAATATGATATGTCTTTTTGCAAGATGTTTATATTAAAACGGAACTCATTCGACTCATTTTTCGCATTGAAACTTTCATAACTTGCTGACCTCTGGTATTTCTGGGTTCATTCTTTACTTTTAATTAAAATGATAAATATGGTTGCTACATAACTTTGATTAAAATAAGATTGAAGATTTGAATGTGTATTTTTTTTATATCTTTGTTATAATAACAGACTAAACGGACATATTGGCAAATGGTTAGACATTAGACACATCGTAACATTTTTTCCATGGTTAAGTCAGTCTGCATTATAACTTTAAACAACTTCAGAATACTTCGGATTAGTCTGATTTAACGTCTCGGGTACGTTATAAAAGTAAAAAATTTAAGTATTTTTCAATAAGAAATTTGAACAGCTTTGTTAGAAGCGAATGGATCGAAATAGTCGTTCTTAAAAGAGATAGTACTTACAGGCTCTTTGTGTTTTTTTGAAACTCTCTGCTTCCTGAAGTTCCCCGAGTTAGGCGCTCCTCCTCCGGGTCTTCCGAAAGGCCAGTAGCATCCGTCCCTCGTCTAGGTCAGTAAACTCTTATCAAAACAAAGAACACAACCAAACAAAGTCAACAGCGGGAAAATTGAGCTTTTACTTTCTGACAGTGATAGTTTAACTACATTTGACCTGGCCAAGGTGTAAGATAATGGAGTACAAAACTTTCGCGTGCCTGCCTCTCGTAACTGGAGTTAATTTAAAAGTTTTCGCCCCTATTAGGCGACCCGCTATTGAAATAAAGAAACAAAAAGTGGAGAAATTGTCGTTACGATTGATACGTAGGGAAAGTTCTCTCGACAACGATACAACCCTCGTTGTAGACGTCTTCATTTATTGTGTGTTAAGCTGGAAAAATCACCCAAAATGAGATATGCACTGTGTAATCAACAATCTAGTCGACGAAGGACATTGAAAAGTTTAGGTGAAGGACAGATCTATTTACCTGTGTGTGATCCATTCCTCAAGTATGTACTGCTAAACTTTTCGATTTAATAGATAGAAAATATTCATATCTCAGAGTAAATATTAGAGAACAGTTTTTTTTCTTTTTTTAACCATTTATGAACCTATTTGTAGCTAATTTTTAATAATAAATTAATTTTTGACAATTCGTCATCCCATCCAGCTAGAAAGCATTTTACTTTTAATTGATACATTCTGCAATGATGTCTTTTCTTCTTGCAAGGGTCTATATTTTGATTAAATATAAAAAAAATAATAATAATAAGAAACATTAGCTGAAAAATAAATGTTTGAGCTAGTACCTCCAATAACCAAATGTACTGCACGAAATATAAGTTCTGGTGATTTCATGAATAATAAAACGTCATTTCATTGCAATAAACGCTTACAAGTTCAACTACTATAAAATATAATGCATCGAAATATTTACGTTTAAAGCCTTAAGGATCTTGCCTAAAGGAATATATCTTACGATACCTTCCAATTGAATTTTTTTTAAAGTTTAAACGAGACTTTTGCCGCCTGCCCACGAACGTTTTGGTATTTGGCAAGCGAATCAAACTTGTTGCTAAATTTTCATAATTTTAACATGGACGGTTTGTAGACATTGTTGAACAAGAGCTATTTTCCTAGTAGAAAAGTAGAGACTGTTTAATTGTAAGCATTTCTTTCTTTAAATTTTTTTTTAACTAGCAAGGTGATGAGATCACCGATTTTAAACAAAAATTTTTTGAAATTTGGAATGAGATTTGTCATTTTTTTTAAATAATTTGTGTACAAGACTTATCATTTTAGTGAGTTTGTTATTAAAACTACATTTGTCATTCATTCTAGCTAGTATTTCTTGGAAATGGTTATTAAATTGGTCATTTTAGCGGGTTGTTATAACAATGATACTTGTCACCCATTCTATTTTTTTCCATAATTTATTCTAGCTAGTTTTTCTTGGAAATGGTTATTAAATTTGTCATTTTAGCGGGTTGTTATAACAATGATACTTGTCACCCATTTTATTTTTTTTTCATCTTTTATTCTAGCTAGTTTTTCTTGGAAATGGTTATTAAATTTGTCATTTTAGCGGGTTGTTATAACAATGATACTTGTCACCCATTCTATTTTTTTCATCATTTATTCTAGCTAGTTTAAACTTGGCAAAGCAGATTGTTATTAAAATGATATTTGTCATTCATTCTAGCTAGTTTTTCATGGAACTTGGAAATAGACTTGTCTTTTTAGCGGGTTCTTATTAAAATGATACTTGTCATTCATTGTTGCTGGTTATTCTTGAAACTTGGAATAGCGGGTTTTAATTAAAATGATACTTGTCATTCATTCTAGCTAGGTTTTTTTTGGTACTTGGAATTAGGGTTGCCATTTTAGCGGGTTCTTAATAAAATGATACTTGTCATTCATTCTAGCTAGATTTTCTTGGAACTTGGAAAAGCAGGTTGTTATTAAAATGATACTTGTCATTCATTCTAGCTAGTTTTTCTTGGAAAGAGACTTGTCATTAACACTAACGCTTGTTATTGGACTTGTAATTCCTGCTAATTTTTATTGGAACATGGAATAATACTTGTCATTCTAGCCGGTTTTTATTAGTATGATAATCGTCATTTATTCCATTCATTCTAACTAGTTTTTCTTGAAACTTAGAATGAAACTTGTCATTCTTACGTGTTATTATTGCATATAATTATGGTATACATTAATTTGGTATAATATTTACACACTACTTTAAATAAAAGTTTAAGTTTTCATGTTCCAACGAAATCTCAGAATCAATCTTAACATTCCAGAGCTGATGAATTATTGATCTGTAAATAAAAAGAATAATTTACTGTAGTGTTTTGTGACGTTTGTCTAATAAAAACGAAGACTAGTTCGTTGAAGCGAAGCACGAAAAGTTCGTAGATTAATGACTTGATTGTGGTAATGTCTTAATCGTCGGTCTGGATCTTACCTGATATCTGTGCCTGTATTTGTCTTCATGTTTTCTTTTCCACATCTCCATGCCCTCGTGGACGGACACAGGATTTTTCCATTTTATCGTCTCTTCGGCATCGGCTTGCATAACGGCCTAAACAATTTTAAAAACTACGGAAGACAGTTTTCAGTTTTTTTGGATTTAAATTGAACACGAGGGGGAAAAGAAAGGATTTTTATTTAAACTCTCTTTAAATAGAATCTTTATGATCTTGAACCTTGTTCATAATTGATAGTTCAATAATCAAATATTCTGGCTGTTGATACAAGAAATTACTAAAAGGTCGAAACCTTTCAATAGAACTATAATAACATCTCATCATTGAAAACAAGTGTCCTGTTTCAAACAGGTGCTCGCACGTGCCTTTCGCAAGCATGCGGCCAATGTAAATAAAATATCACTGCTCACCTCATGCGCACTTTGCCGCTATTTGTGCGGTGAAATGCAATTGGCCAATGGGCGGATATCGACTAGGGAAAAATAGCTGAAAAATGTGCAAACCGACTTGACATAAAGTTCGAGGAGAACTAGAATCAGTCGTTTTACCCAGTGGCACAGAGAGGATCCAGTCAATAACGGTACCGCCCCCATCGAACTGTGTCATATCGTACCCGCTCGCAAAGCAATATCCGGTTTCTCCTGGGGACTTATTTTTTTATTTTAGTGTTACATGGAAAAACGGCGTAAATGCCGATAAACACTCAACATATTATGAAACAAACAATAAAATTACAAGTGTATAAAATTTACAAATAAAATCCTTTTAAGATAAATGACAATGTACAATTAATATAATATTAAAGACTTTGGTATGGTAACAAAGTTTCACAATAAAATTCTAATTAAAATATACTAAATGAATTTGAAAAAAAGAGTTAAGGAACTTTTAATGAAGATGACTCAAAATACGATTTGAAAATTGATAAAAATTTAGTTTTTGGAAAATATAGCTTTACTCATAGAAGCTTTATTTATTAAAATTTATTTCAAAGCTGCTTAAAACTTCTGTGATTAGGACTATCTTTTCCAAAATGTAAATGATCATAATTTCTGATTTATCTCTTTATTTCATTTATTTAATATCGGTAATTTATCTAACCATAAAATTCGCAATAATTGGAAATGTCTGTACCCAAAAGCGCATTCATTTTTCTTAGTTGCTGGCAGGGTTTTACGTATTAATAGCGGGTTTTTTGCTAATGTGTATTTAATGTCGTCAGTTGACGAAACAATGTCCCAAATATTCTCGAAGACTTTTAAATCTAGTTGAGCAATGAGACAGTTAAATTTAGTTTGTTGCTGTGTCACGCATGATAACAGAAACTGTGCTTCCGCCTGAAAGAACCATATTTCTGGTTTATTTTATGAACTTGGAATTAGAATTGTCATTTTAGCGAGTTGTTATTAAAATGATGCTTATTATTCATTCTAGATAGTTTTTCATGGAACTTCGAATTAGACGTCTTTTCAGCGAGTTGTTATTAAAATGATGCCTGTCATTCATTCTAGCTGGTTTTTCTTGGAACTTGGAAAAGCAGGTTGTTACTAAAATTATACTTGTCATTCATTCTAGCTAGTTTTTCTTGAAACTTGGAATGAGACTTGCCATTCTATGGTTGTAAATTGAAATGCAACTTGTGAATCCAGCTTCTTTTTTTTTTGTCTTGTCATTCGTCATTCTAGCCGATTTTTATTAGAAGGATTCTTATTATTCTTTCTAATTTTTATGGAATTTGGAATAAGACGTCATTTTAGCGGGTTGTTATTAAAATGATACTTGTCATTCATTCTAGCTAGTTTTTCCTGGAACTTGGAAAAGCAGGTTGTTTTAAAATGATATTGTCATACATTCTAGCTAGTTTTTCTTGGAACTTGGAAAAGCAGGTTGTTTTAAAATGATACTTGTCATTCATTCTAGCTAGTTTTTCTTGAAACTTGGAATGAGACTTGCCATTCTACGGTTGTTATTGAAATGCAACTTGTCAATCCAGCTTCTTTTTTTTTTAAATTTGGAATAAGACTTGTCGTTCTAACCGGTTGTTATTAGGATTCTTGCCATCCTTTCTAGTTTTTATGGAATTTGGAATAAGACTTGTCATTTTAGCAGGTTGTTATTAAAATGATACTTGTCTCATTCCTCTAGCTAGTTTTACTTGAAACTTGGAATGAGACTTGCCATTCTACGGTTGTTATTGAAATGTAACTTGTCATTTTTTTTTTCTAGCCGATTTTTATTAGAAGGATTCTTATTATTCTTTCTAATTTTTATGGAATTTGGAATAAGACGTCATTTTAGCGGGTTGTTGTTAGAATGATGTTATTAGAATCATAAATAAATAAAAAATAATGATCTCCCAAAATGGGGGTCATTTAGGCCAAAAAAGCAGTTTATGTTTTTGAAAAATTACTTGTGGTAAAATGTGCATTAAATACAACCTGGAAGAGTATGGAAAAATATTTCTGTGTAATAATATGCCGGTTCAACATGAGTTCACAGACTCGCAAACCAACGCTCATAATCAAATCTGAGTAATAAGTTGATTATGTTTGACAGATTGAGGTTTAGGTTTCTTATGTGTGCATATCAGAGCTGGGCAAAAATGTGTTTAAGCCAAAAGAGCAAAGTTTGTTTTCTTAATAAATTGTTTCCAATACATCAAGGGACACCTAAATTTTGTTTCACTTGAAAATAAATAGAAATTAAATACTCTCAATAGGTATATAATAAAAACGAACTTTGTCTTTACTTGATGATCTTATCTGGATCTCCTCCTTTTCTTTCATCTTAAATGTGGGTTGATAATTTAATTTTTAAAATAATTTTATATCCACTTAAGATTCATCTGTATTGTACCAGCTCAGATTTGCAGCTACTATAAAGAAGGTTTCTGAATCTACTAGCTAAATAACTCATCAAGAATGTTTACTAGGCCCTGATTTACAGGACTTGTTACATAAGATACATGTATATTCTGATATAGTATTTGTATTAATAGTTTTACTAGTAAATATTAAAAAATTTTAGACCAAATTGTCTCCTACATTTTTTTTAATGCATGTAATTTTATGCTTTTCTTAATCATGAGTAGAGTGAAAATTCAAATAAGACATTAAAATGTTTCATAAAACATAAATTTTATAAAAATTATGTAATATTCAAAGTACACAGGGAATTGTTGGACTTTAGTAAGGTTTTCTTCAATTAAAAGCAATTATTTAACCTTGTGTTTATTAGAATTATTTTATTTGTATTTGGTTTATTACAAAAATGATCAGCCTCCAAAACAAAATTTAGCTACAGTAACTGACATATCCATTTGGAAAATTTTGAATCAAATTCTGAATGAAATTTTCATATAATTGGTTGACTTACCATTGTTTTCATTTATATTTGACTGAGGGTTTCTTGCCAGGTCAAATGTTACAAAAAACAAATTCTAGTGCAAGGGGACAATTCAATGCAATTGATGAAACGCTGGAACATGTCAGAACTTTAATTCTCAATGGAGAAAAGACTATACAAATATTTTTGCCCCTACAATTTTTATTATAATACTTCCAGGTTAATTGCTGTTAAAATTATACTGGAAATTCTTGTTAATGTTTGATTAGAAATCAGACAGTAAACCTAGCAACTTTTATATTAACAATAATTATTCAAGATATATTAGTTACTATTATTTATATTTTAAACTTTCTGCTTCCTGAAGTTGTCCGAGTTAGCCGCTCCTCCTCCTGGATTTCCAAAAGGCCAGTAGAATCCGTCCATTGTCTAGACCAATAAACTCAATCAAAACAAAGTCAAGTGCAAAAAATGAGTTTTGTTTCTGACAGTGATGATAGTTTAACTACATTGGTCAGGGTCAAGGTGTAAGATAATGGAGTACAAAACTTTCACGTACCTGTCTCTTGTAACTGATGTAAATTTAAAACTTTTCGCCCCTATTCAGTGTATTTCACCCCCAGTATTAAAAATAAACAAAATGTGGAGAAATTGTCAATACGATTGATGGGTAGGTTAAGTTCTGAAAACAAAAGGGCAAAACGAGACAACCCTCTTTGGGGACGTCTTCATTTATTATAAATTAAGCTGGAAAAGTCACCCAAATGAGAGATGAATTGTGTAATCAACAATCTAGTCGATGAGGACATTGAAAAATATAAGTGAAGAACAGCACATATCTATTAACTTCTTTGTGATCCAGCCCGCAAGCATCTACTGCTAAGCTTTTCGGCTTCGTATACAGAAAGTATGCGTATCCCAATGTAAATATTAGAAAAGACTCAATTTTTTAGCAAATTATTTTTTGTTGATAAATTCTTGTCATCAGAGAAATTTTGTTTTCCCATCAGATAAATTCTGCAATGATGTTTTTTCTTCATGCAATGATCAACATTTTGATTTAAAATATTAACTGAAAAATATATGTCTGAGTACTACATCCAAGAACCAAACATGCTACCTGAAATATAAGGTCGTGTGATTTCACAAATAATATAAAAACATAATTTCATTGCAATAAACACTTACAAATGTCAAGTACCACAAAATATAATGCTTTGAATTATTTTGCTTAAAGCCTTAATGATCTTGCTTAAATGAATAGTACCTTATGATATCTTTCACTCAACAAGAAATGAGGTTTTTGTTTGAGAAAAAATGAGGTTTTTTTTCACCTTCCTATGAAAGTTTAATAACAGTTACACTAATGATCATTTTTGCACGGTTCGTAGACATGGTTGACCAAAAGACCTATTTTCAAGCAGAAAAATAGGGAAATGTTCAAGTGTAAGCATTTCTTCTTTAACATTTTTCGGCCTAGTATCACAAAAAAGTTTCATTAAAATCAATGATCCCATATCCATAGTATCCTAAAACATATATGTTTTTCTAGCAACTAAAATAGACACCCTGTATATAATGTGTATACATACTACTTTAAATAAATGTTTAAGGTTCGATGTTTCAATGAAATATCAGAATCAATCAGAACATTCCAGAGGTGACTGATCGTTAAGTCAGTAAATACAATTTTGAATAAAAAGATGTTTATTCCATTGTTTTGTGCCATTTGTCTAATAAAAACATGGTATAGTTTGTTGGAGCGAGGCACAAAAAGTTCTTACATTAAATGACTGGATTGTGGTATTGTCTTAATCGTCTGGATTTTACCTGATATTTGTCTTCCTGGTTTCTTTGCCATGTCACCATACCTTCGTGGACAGACAGTGGATGTTTCCAATTTATTGTCTCATCGGCATCCAGTTGTATAATGTTCTAAACAATTTTAAAAACTATGGAAGACAAAGTTTTCAGTTTTTTGGATATAAATTGGATGTAAAAATAAGGGGTTTTTTTTTTTTTTTTTAACTGACTCTGAAAAGAATCTTTACTGTCTTGAACCTGTTCATAGTTGATAGTTTAATAATAAAATATTCTGGTTGTTACTTAATTACTAAAAGTTAGCAGCCTTTCAATAGAACTAAAATAACACCTCATTATCACACTAAAGACGTGTTTCAAACTTGTACTCATACGTTCCATTTTGTAATTCATGCGGTTCATGTACTACTTACAGGTTCTCTGTATATTGTTGGAACTTTCTGCTTCCTGAAGTTGCCAGAGTTAGCCGCTCCTCCTCCTGGTCTTCCAAAAGGCCAATAGAATCCATCTCTTGTCTAGGTCAATAAATTCTTATCAAAACAAAAAACAAAACCAAACGATGTCAACAGTGCAAAATTTGAGCTATGTTTCTGAGAGTGATTGTTTAACTACACTTGACAGGGTCAAAGTGTAAGATGTTGGAGTACAAAAGTTTCGTGTGCCTGCCTCTCGTAGCCAATGTTCATTTAAAAATTTTCGCTCCTATTCAGCAACCCACTAAATAAAAAAAACAATAAGTGGAGAAATTATCGTTAAAATTGATATAGGGCAAGTTCTTTACAATGAAAAGACAAAAATGAAGCAACCCTTGCTTGGGTCGTCTTAATTTTTTGTATATTAGCTGGAAAAGTCACCTAAGTGAAAGATGTATAATCAACAATCCAGTTGAAGAAGGACAAAGCTTAAGTGAAGAACAGCATTCATCTGTAACCGCTGTGGGATCCATCCCACAAGCTATTTGCTAAGCTTTTTGGCTCCATATATTCAGAAAATATTCATATCCAAGTAAATACCAAAAAATACTCTTTTTTCAAAAAATTATAAACTTATTTTTAACAAATGGTTAATAATTAATTATTTTTGGTTGATAAATTCTTGCCTGCAGTGAGAAAATTCGTCATCTGATCTGATAAACTCTACAATGCTGTTTTTTCTTCTTGCAATGTTCAACATTTTTGTTGAATTATGTAGTAATACATTAACTGAAAAATATATGTCTCAGATACTATATCCAAGAACCAAATGTGTATAAAGTCTTGTGACTTCATAAATAATATAAAAACATCATTTCATTGCAATAAACAAATGTCAACTATTATAAAATATAATGCATCGACGTATTTACATTTAAAGCCTTTAAAGATCATGCCTAAAAGCATAGTACCTTACGATACCTTCCACTCCACAAGAAAATTTAAACAAGGTTTTTGCCACATTCCCACAAACATGTAGTGATTAGTGACTAGTCGATTATTATTCAGAAATCGTGAGATGCGGTCTGGTGTTACGTACGTTTCAGAAAAACATTTTCTTTATCGTGCCAACGTTTCGATCTTTATTGAGATCATCTTCAGGGCCTGGGATTTACATACGTTTAAATTTAACAAAAACATGTAGGATGTATAAATTCACTTTTTTCCACATCCTACATGTTTTTGTTAAATTTAAACAATCTTTGTAAATCCCAGGCTCTGAAGATGATCTCAATAAAGATCGAAACGTTGGCACGATAAAGAAAATGTTTTTCTGAAACCTATGCCTCCAGACCACATCTCACGATTTCTGAATAATTCCCACAAACGTTCTGTATCCGGCAAGCGAATCAAACTTTTAATAGCAATTACGCTGATAATGTCTTGTTTATAATTTTACCATGTACTGGATCAATATGGAATGTTCAATTGTAAGTATTTCTTCTTTAAAATTTGCAGTAGTAAGAGGAATCTAAGGAGGTGGGATTGCCAATTTAAAGAAACTTTTTTTGAAGCTTGACTTTGAAACTTGGACTGTAATTTGTCATTCTAGCGGTTTGTAATTAATATTAGACTTGTTGTATGTTTTTTTATATTTTTATTGGCCTTATGAGCTTTGCATATTAGCCATGACGAATTTTTATATAAGTTGTTCAAATTGGGGGTTATCGGGAAAAAAGGGCCATGGGCGATGGTGGGAATCGAACCCACGACCGCGGCGTGAGAGTCTCTCATGCTAACCACTCGGCTACCGGGGTTTGTTGTATGCTAATTAGTAAGTAGCAGGTAGTTACTAAAATGATACTTGTCATTCATGCTAGCTAGTTTTTATGTTCTTTAAACTTGGAATAAGACTTGCCATTCTAGCAGGTTTTTTTTTTTTTTTTTACGGGCTTCCGACATCTAGGTCATTTCAGCCCCCAACTAAGTCTATATTCTATTTACCATTTCAAACACTACATTCATGCACATAAATACATCCATACAGTACACTCATGCCGTTTGGTCGGTGGCGTACTTCATATTCCTCCACCGACCTATACTCAAACTAATCTAGATAGTACTTTTATAAATATTCCGCCATCGACCCCGAACACACTCCTTCACTCTCAACATTCGAGGGGCGATGATGACGTTATATTTCACCCTCCCCCTCGCCATTCACGCTAATAAATACATGCACTTAGACAAAACATATAGACGCAACACATAAGACATATTATGTTCAATAAAAAACCCCAATTTCCCCTAAAAAGCGGAACAGGGGATCCAGAAACCAACTGCAGTGCTCGAGTACCATTTTCAGATTGGATGGCATGCCTACACGCTCTCTGTAGGGAGCCATAGCAGGTTATTATTAAAATATTGTCAATTGTTCAGTCTGTTGAAGTATATTACTTCATTGTTAATCTCTAGGGATTCATATGTAAAAATAGACAATAAAGATGGCGCAATGCTGAAATGCTTTGAGTAATATAGAAAAACCAGACATAGACGAACCCAATAAGTAACCCAGAGCCAGGTCAACATGTATTCACCGACTCACCGACTACAACCACCATCAACCCTTGTGATGATGTTGAATTTGAAGAAAATCCGGACGAGTTATGATTTTTAAAAAGAATCCTGGATTTTAAAGAAACAAAAGTTGCTCCCTGCTAATCCAGCCCAAAAATCACAATTTTTACTGCTATAAAATTTGTATCTGAGGGTCTTAATGTATGTTTAAAATTAAACAGAATTTCTTTTTTTAAATAGTACTTTTTGGCTTCTCATCTTATTAAATTCAATCCTATGAAAAAAAAAAAATCTACTGATATAACTTTGTAATTCATGCTTTAGAAAGACAGAAAACCATATTTAAAAAAGTACTTAAATTAATTTTTTTCTAGTCCCCTAGGACCCACTTGCAAAAACACTAGTATTTGTGTCAAATATTTTTTAGCCTAGTATCACCAAAAAGTTTCATTAAAATCGATGATTCCATATCCGTAGCAACCTAGAACATGGATGTGTTTTTCTAGCAACTAAAGTAGACACCCTGTGTATAATTTGGATACATACTACTTCAAATAAAAGTTTAAGGTTTGATGTTTCACTAAAATCTCAGAATCAATCATAACATTCCGGAGGTGACTGTTAAGTCTTTAAATACAATTTTGAATAAAAAGATAATTTAATAAATATATACATAAGATATGCACATACACAGCATCAGTCGTTTTCTATGTAAAGTCCGAGATATTATACATAATTCATATTCGAGATAGGATTATTGTTAAAGTAAATGGTTTAGGATGGTCAAGTTTAGGATGACCTTTTTGGACCTTTTTTTCATCATATGTGGCCCAAGATTAGGATTGCCATAATAGTTCAGGTATTGACCAGGACATTTATTGAGATAGAAAAATAGATACACATATGGATACAGGTAGGATAGGTATACATATCACTAAAAATCAAAAAATTGTACAAACAGCTAGCATACTTGTGAAATTCCGAACATGTCATTTTATAATTTAACTTGCATTAAATAATGCTTTCGACTGTTTCTATTTGAAGCCTATTGCGTTCTTTCTTCCACTGAGCTATCAACGAAAATATTCTCTCAAAATTGGTTTTATGCCCAGCGTTGATTATTTGTTTACAGGGGCAGAAGGCCAAACGGGACGACAGGGTCCAAGGTTTTAAACCAGTGACACCGCAACATGGCAACCCTATTCAGCTGCACATTGTAGGGGGTGTGAAGAGTGTTTATATTTAAGAATTTTCTTTACAGCTGCCCATGGGAGGTCTTCAATCATAAGAGATTGTGCGAATATGGAATATTGATCAATAGAGTTGTAGTTCATTAGTTAAATGTCTAGCTATGTAAACCTGTAGACAGTTTGGCGAGACTGTCAAGATACTTGCTACAATTGACTGTCAGGTGTGCGATCAGTCACATTTCGTGGACATCATGCGAGAATTACTGAACTATAGGCACAAGAAGATCTCGAGCCCACTGCTTATGAGTTTGGATTCGTAGTGGTATGTGGTGAGACTCCTGGAGGGTAGTCTAGAGAGGTTATTCTCTAGGTGGTGGTTAGTATTCCACTTAAATCGAAAACTGGAGCCCCAACTGTCGCAAGTGCCTACACTAGGGGTTTCAATAGAGCTGCCTTCTCTAGGTCAGGAGCTTCTGCGACCATTCATGCAGAATGGCCAAGAGGGGTCAGAGCCTTTCTAAAGGCTCTACATGAAAACCTACGGTATTGCACAACACGCTGTAGGTGGAAGCGCATCACCTCCCTTCTTGAGAAACGATCCCGTGCTTGCACAGGGGACCAGGCCTTCAGGCTACAGACTTGAAAGATCCTCACATCCTTTTCAGGACACCGAGCAAGACAGGAAACAAATATCTAGCTGTGGTTAAACAGTCTCTTGTGACAAGGGTATCTACTGCAAAAGAGCTCGCACGCTCTGTTTACAAGTTATCAATTCTCACAAGTACGGAGGGAAATTAAGGGATTTGTTTGTCTAAAAAAATTTTAGTCGAAGCAAGGCACGAAAAGTTCTTAGATTAAATGGATTGTGGTATTGTCTTAATCGTTGGTCTGGATCTTACCTTATATCTGTAATCCTGCTTTATTTTCCATATCATCATACTCTCGTAGATGGACAAAGGATTTTTCATTTCCATTTTATCGTTTTGTCGGCTTCTGCTTGTATATTCTAAACAAATATAAAAACTATGAAAAACAATGTATTCAGTTTTTTATACTTAAATTTAGAACTCTAGGGGGGGGGGGGGCAAAGAAAGGTTTTTTTTTAATTTAAACTGACTCTCAAATGAATATTTAAGGTCTGTTCTTTAAGGGCTTGTTCATAGTTGATAAACTGATACTAAAAAAATTATGGTTGTTAATAAAAGAAATTACTAAAAGGTAGAAGGCTTTCAATAGGACTGAAATAACATCTCGTCATCGCGTAAAGGAAAATGTCAAGTTGCAAACAGGTGCTCTTACGTGCCCATGTGGTCAATGTGCATAAAATATCACTGCTCAATGCTCATCTCATGCGCACTTTGCCGCTATTTGGGAGGTGAAACGCAATTGGCCAGTGGGCGGACTGGGGGAAATAGCTGCAAAATGCGCATGCATGCAAAAATAAAACATAATAGCATAAAGTTAGCGAACTATAATCAGACGTTTTCGGTTTTACCCAGTGGCACAGAGAGGATCGAATCAAGAGAGAAGAACGGTACCGCTCCCATCAAACTGTGTCATATCGTACCCGCCGCAAAACAATACCAGGATTCACCTTGGAACTTATTTTTATATTTTTATTGTTAGATGGACCAACGGCGTAAATACCGATAAACAAACAAAATATTATGAAACAATCAAATTACAAGTATACACTATTTCCAAATAAAATCCTTTTAGGATAAGTAACAATTTACAATTAATATAAATATTACGTACTTAGGTGTGCTAAACAAATTTCACAACAAAATTCTAATTAAAATATTCTAAATGAATTTTTTATTAAAGGTGACTCAAGATTCGATTTGAAAGACATAAATGATCTTGATAGAAATTATTTGAGGTAGGAAGTATGGCAAATCATTTTTTGGAAAAGATAGTTTTACTCATAGAATTTTCTTTTAATTATTTCAAAGCTGCCTACCCTAGAAATTATTGGAGGTAGGGTGTACGGTAAATCATTTTTTGGTTTTGGTAAATCATATTTTTATGTTAGATGGACAAATGGCATAAATGCAGATAAACAATCAAATGACATGTATATACAATTTCCAAAGAAATTCATTTTAGGATAAATAACAATTTTTCAATTAATATAAATCAATCCATTTATGTTTAGTGGTCTAATTGACCATATTAATTATTTCAATTAACATAAATATTAATGACAGGTGTGCTAAACAAATTTCACAATAAAATTATAATTAAAATATACTAAATGACTTTTTTTAAAGAGAGAATTTTTTACTAAAGGTGACTCAAAATTCGATTTAAAAGACATAAATGATCTTGATAGAAATTATTTGAGGTAGGATGTACGGTAAATCATTTTTTGGAAAAGATAGTTTTACTTTTAGAATTTTTATTTTTTGAAATTTATTCAAAGCTGCCTACCCAGATTCATCTTGGGACTTTTTTTATTTTTTTATTGTTAGATGGACAAATGGAGTAAATGCCGATAAACGATCAAGTTACAAGTATACACAATTTCCAAATAAAATCCTTTTTTTTAGTATTTACAATTACTGTTAATTATTAATTTAAAATTAATATAAATATTACTTACTTAGGTGTGCTAAACAAATTGCACAATAAAATTCTAATTAAATGAATTTTAAAAAAATATAATTTTTTATTATAGGTGACCAAGATTCGATTTGAAAGACATAAATGATCTTGATAGGAATTAGTTGAGGTAGGATGTATGGTAAATCATTTTTTGGAAAAGACAGTTTTAATCCTTTTTAAAAGATTGGACACTGCACTCACTCCACCATTCATCATTTCTATTAAGATAGTTTTACTCATAGAATTTTTATTTTTTTAAATTTATTTAAAAAAGCTGCCCACTCGGATTCATCTCGGGGCTTTTTTTTATATTTTTATTGTTAGATTGACAAACAACATAAATGCCGATTAACAATCAAATTACCAGTATATACGATTTCCAAATAAAATCCTTTTACGATAAGTAACAATATACAATTAATATAAACATTATTTACTTTCACAATAGAATTCTAATTAAAATATACTAAATGAATTTTAAAAAAAGATTATTTTTTATTAAAGGTGTCTCAAGATTCGATTTGAAAAATATAAATGATCTTGATAGAAATTATTGGAGATAGAGTGTATGGTAAATCATTTTTTGGTTTTGGTAAATCATATTTTTATGTTAGATGGACAAATGGCATAAATGCAGATAAACAATAAAATTACAAATATATACAATTACCAAATAAAATCCTTTTACGATAGATTTTTTTTTTTTTTAAGAGAGAATTTTTACTAAAGGTGACTCAAGATTTCATTTGAAAGACATAAATGATCTTGATAGAAATTATTGGAGAGAGTATGTACGGCAAATCTTTTTTTGGAAAAGATAGTTTTACTTATAGAATTTTTATTTTTTTAAATTTATTTCAATGCTGCCTACCCCGGATTCATCTTGGGATTTATTTATGATAAACAATCAAATTACAAGTATATGATGTCACCTGAAGTCTTGATGGAACCTGAATACAACTGATCAGGTGCCTTTTTATAATAAAATGTAATTCAAGTTTGAAAACAATTTATTAATTACACAAGAAAATAACAATTAAAATCAATTAATTTCCTTTTTAAATTTTAAACAAACAATTAAAACTTTTCAAATTTAAATAAACAGTAATTTCATGTAAACCATTTGGAACAAGGGTGGATGGGTACTCACTGTTTAAAGACAATCTGCTCTTGACCGAAACACTCTATTTTAGGGAAATCAACACTTTAAATTCTTTTGAAGATCGCACACTTCTTTTTGTCTTTCATTTACACTGAATAGACTCGTTCACTTCTAGACTGTACTGTCTCTATCCTCATTGTCGAGATCCTCCTGTATTTTCAGTCTAGGCCTAATCATGAAATCTAAATCACAACATTGTCACTATGAAAGAAATTGGAATGTGACATAAATATTAATGACAGGTGTGCTAAACAAATTTCACAATAAAATTCTAATTAAAATATACTAAATGAGTTTTTTTAAGAAAATTTTTTAGTAAAGGTGACTCAAGATTTGATTTGAAAGACATAAATGATCTTGATAGAAATTATTGGAGGTAATATGTATGGCAAATCATTTTTTGGAAAAGATAGTTTTACTTATAGAATTTTTATTTTTTTTTATTTTTTATTTTTTGCTGGGGCTTCCGACATCTAGGTCATTTCAGCCCCCCACTAAGTCTATATTTTATATTCTATACCCGTTCAAACACAACATTCATACAAATAAATACATTTATACACATTCCGTTTGGTCGGTGGAGTACTTGATATTCCTCCACCGACCTACACTTAAACTAAACTAGATTGGGGTCGATGGGGTACTTTTATGAATATTCCGCCATCGACCCCGAACACACACTCACCCGCTTTCATCGTTCGAGGGGCGATGATGACGTTATATTCACCCTCACCCCTCGCCATTCACGCTAATAAATACATGCACACAGACAAAACATATATGCACATAACACATAAGACATACTATATATAATAAAAAAAACCAATTTCCCCTAAAAAGCGGAACAGGGGACTGAAACTCGCTACCGGCGGCATGCCTACACGCTCTCTGTATGGAGCCAAGGCATGACACGCCTCTATTATGTGGGACACATCGAGCAACCTTTCTCTGCATAAGGGGCACCTGCGCGGGCTTTGGCCCAAAAGCAGGTGCCCATGTGTCAACCGTAGAATTTTTATTTTTTTGAATTTAGTTCAAAGCTGCCTACCCGGATTCATCTTGGGATTTATTTTTTTATTGTAAGATGGACAAACAACATAAATGCCGATAAACAATGAAATTACAAGTATATACAATTTCCAAATAAAATCCTTTTACGATAAATAACAATTTACAATTATTATAAATCAATCCATTTATGTTTAGCGGTCTAATTGACTGTATTAATTATTTCAATTAATATAAATATTAATGGCAGGTGTTTTCTGTAATGTGAAATTAATATAAGCCCTGATGATGACCTTAAAATAGGTCAAAAACTTGGCAGTAACAATTGAATTTGCTTTTTTCTTCAAACCATACCTTAATCTAGTGTTCATGAGTGAAAAAATGGTCGATACTTCTAACATCGAAAACTAAAATAATTCTAAATTAGTACTATTTTGCTATTACAATGTAGAGAAAAAAGCAGCATATGAACTAGAAATGCTGTTAGATTCAATTAAGTACATGCAATCTTTTTTCGAAACAAAATATAATTATGTTAATTCAGTATTGACAATATTTTGATTTTCTGTAACTTTTTGACCAGCAACTTTGAAGCTGAGCATTCATGCTTCCCAGATTTGTGAGTGAAATCTGAAGAGCCAGAACTATCAGCATTATAGGTCATACTTTTCTTCTCATTACCCGTTATCAAAGTGCAACGAGAAGATCCAACACTTTGCCCCACAGTAATTTCGAAAGAAGGGTATTTGAAAACAGACTTCATTACCATCATTGATCGTATCAGGGCCCTTGTTAGTTGTAAATAAATTTAGAATCGGTTTGATGCAAAAGTCATTTTTACAGATATTTCATACACCGATGTTTTATAGCTCAACACAGAACTAAGATATGCTACTTTTTGTGAACGCTGACCGTACATTCCTGCCAATTCAAAAGTGACGCATAGTCTAGCACCTGAGAGTCTACATACATTTGTATCATTTTTCCTGTAGCGTCACACACCCAAATACTTAACAACTAATTAATCCACTTTTTAGAATTTTTTGATTTGTGTCACTTTTCTTGTGGTATCTAGTGAGAAAGGTTGAGGCAAAGGGTCATACAAAAATAATACAAAGTTTACTTTATTAAAAGAAAAATATTGAAAAAGTTCACATTTTGAGGTGTAGGACTACTTTATTTATGAAGTAAAAAATAAAAAATCAGTACTTAAACAAATGTTCAACAAATACTTATTACTTTACAGACATTATTATGTATACAAGTTATAATGGTTAATTATATGTATAGATGATAATTTTTTTAAACTAACATTAGCAAAAATGTTGTTTTATATTTGATCTTAGATGCTTAAAATTATCTACAATGTACAATATAACAGAGTGCATGAGAAAAATAATGTTTATGACCATGTACTCAATGCATTATTTAACATCTTGTGTATTGCTTTCACCTTCCCCACTTCGGACGGTGATAAATTCAGTTAGTAAAGGGTAGTTGCCAGAATTGCCAACATTTTCAGCCGAACACGCATCATCAAATTCTCCCATTTCCAGCTTGAAGAGTATATTGTCAATTTGGTTTTTGGCCGAGGCGATGGCACGTGGGGATTTGCAAGCGTTACGCATCCTGCTCGTTACGTTCTTTCCGTAAAGAGTGAAATCGTCCGTATACTTGGCGTTATTCTTGGCATTGTGCATTACGCTGAACGTGTTATCCACCTGGTCCCTAGATTTAATCTGTTGAGGTTTATCATAACATTTTCGTTTTCTATCATTACTTTCAACTTCATGAGAAGGCAAAATAGTTGTTGTTGGTATCATAGATGAATTATCCCTTGCATTGACATTTTTTTCTGCTCCTTTCTAAAAAATTAATTAATAATGATAAGTATAAATTTTTTTAAAATCAAATAAATAATATTTTTTTAATCTTTAAATGATATATTTTTTTAATCTATAAAAGATAAGTTAGTCCTAGTTGACTAAAGTAACATTAAAATTTAATTAAAAATTAAATTAATCATGAAATTATCACTTAATGATCATTTATCATTTAATTATCATCATTCAATTAAAATTTTAAACTTTTATGTCAAGTGTGGTCGGAATGGTTGGATTATGTGTATAAAATTCAAGCTCTATTAAAATCTAACAATATATAAAAATATTTTACACAATATGTTAATTTATGATTTTTCCTTCTTGGACGTGAGATAGTAGGTCATTTCAAAAAAACCACAACCAGTTTTTATCCACAACTTTTCGGATTTATTTTAATCCTTCCTCAGGTGAGTTAATGCACTGGTTAAAACAGTGGTCGTCAGTCATTAATATTTTATAAAAGTTTATTTCAAAAAAGAGCCAGTGTGGTACTTATTCAGACTACGAACAAACGTTTTAATATTTTGAACCTGACTAGTCAGGTTTGTTCGCATTCTGAATAAGTACCACACTGGCTCTTTTTTAAAATAAACTGTTATAAAATATTAATGACTGACGACCATGTTTTAACCATTGTGTTAACTCACCTGAGGAAGGATCCGAAATGTTGTGGATAAAAACTGGTTGTGGTTTTTTTGAAATGACCTGTTATCCCACCTTCAAGAATGAAAAATCATAGTTAAACTGTTGAGGTCGAAATATAAGAAAACAATATGTTAGCATAAAATGTTTTATATAATTAGTAAAAAAAAATATGTAGTTTGGTCATCATCAAAACAAAATTATATTTCATTAAATTCACTAATTTCGTGGTCCGCTTGACCAATTAATTGTATTATATTTCATTCATAGATAGTAATGAAAGTTCGGCAGAGAAACTTTCGGGCATCAAGAGCACAATAGGTGACCCTTATTCGTAGAGAAATGGTCATCTTCACCAGATTAAGAATAGGCCATGCGAGGTTAATGGAGATTTTTTGGGCCAAAACCCATATATGTATCCAGCATGCAGGGTTGCTCGATGTGTCCCACCTAATTGAAGGGTGCAATTTTTTGGCTCCATATAGAGAGCATATAGGAATGCTACCCGATGTGAGAATTGAACTTGAGCATGGCAGTGAGTATCTAGGGCCCCTCTTCTGATTCTTGAATGAAACAGGGTTATTTTAGTGTATACAGTAATGATAGTTTTGTATCTCTAGTAGAGAGTGGGGTATTTATTAGTGTGAATGTGTAATGTGAGAGAGCCAATGGTGGAAAATTGAACCTCAGTTAGGTTAGTTATATAATAGGTGTAAAAGAGATGGAACAATATCGAGCACCCCCGCCACCTTAACTGAGTGAATGGTATGTAAATAAATAGAATGTATTTAAGGGTGAGTGAGAGTTGTGAATAAATTTAGGTACTGACTGCGTTGTGGACTGAACTAACCTAGCTGTTCATAACCCCTTGGAGCCCAACCTCGGCAGCTGGATGGGCAAGACCGAGGTCTGACCCTAGACTGCCAACACCCGGGGTGGGTGTTTCTTGATATTAATTCACATTATGTTTTGTAAGGTTCCTTCTTAAAATGATTCTTGCATAAGGTTAATGTTCCAATCAGAACTAACTCTAATAAATGGCATTTCCATAAATTCTTGTTTACCACTAAAGCTTAAATATGTTTTACATGACGTTTTAATCTAAATGGGGGTTGGCATGTGTTTTAAACACAAATGTAATAAATTAAGGACCAAAAATTTCATATAGCGTTTTTGCCTAAAATAATGCTTTATGTTATAGTTTAGCCTAATAATGAGCTAAAATATGATGGTTAACCAAAATTGATATTTTTACCCCAAATTGATGTTTATTTCATAGTTTAAGTCAATAACAATGTTTTACAAGAGATTTAACCTAAAATAAACCTCCAGAACCATAGCGATCTGCCTCTCAGACTCTAAAAATGCAATAAAAAATATGATCAAAAGGAAATGGCAATTGTCAGCGGGTCAAATCAGCAAAGAAGCACCTATGTACCAAGAGCATGGTCGATAGAATAGCCTTTACCAGGTTGACACACAAGCCCATACTTCTTGGCCAAAGCCCGTCTATGTAGGGAAAGGTTACTTGATGTGAACAAAGGAATCATTCCTTGGCTACATAAAAAAGCGAGTAGGAATACCGACCAATATGAGAATTGCCCTTGAGCTCAGCAATGAGTCTGGAACCCTCTTCCAATTTTTTGAGGAAGCAAGGCTATTTTACTGTGTATAGTGCTTGACAGTTATCTTTTCATGTGTTTCCTTTTTGTATATATTGAGAGTCGATGTATTTATTAGTGTGAGTGACCTAGCAGTCAGCTCCCAAATCCTAACTTCGATGAATGAATGGATAAGTCCGAGTTCAGACCCTGCACTGCCAAAACCCAAAGTTCTATTTTATATATATATANGATCCGATCCCGTCCCTTCCATTGATGAGTGCCGTGTCAATTTCTTTCAATTGCGGCCACCGGTCCCCTTAGGCGTCAGAAAAAGTCCAGAGGCGACGGTGGGGATTGATCCCACGACCGCGGGATCTAATAGCCGAGAGTCTGACGCCTTAACCACTCGGCTACCGCGGCCCCCTCTATTTTATATTACCAACAGCCAACTAACCCAAGAACACAAAAAACACCAAAGTAGTTTTAAATTAGGTTTTAACCTCTCATAGTTGCAATACAATGTTTTTCCATATTTTCAGTCTAAAATGATATTTACATAAGTGTTTAAAGACAAAGTTGTGCTTTACTGAAGCTTAATGAGGCTTTAATCTACAATAAGGTTTATATTATAGCTCAAACTAAAAATTACATTTTAAAAATTTTATTTTGAATGAAAAAAAAGACATTTGGCCATCTCTTGTAAGATTTCTTCTTTTGAACATTACATAAATTACTATGATTGTTGATGTTGATAAATTGTTTGCCCAAAAAAAGTCTTTAATATGTCTGTCAATGAATTTTATGAATTTACTTTTTGAACTTTAATGTTATGTGTGTATACAAATTTTTATGTGAAGATTTTGACTGTAATACTAAAAGCATGTGGTTTACTACAATAAATACAATTCTATACTATGAATACATCCCAATGATTTTTCTAAAATCCCACGAATATTAAATTTTGGGAAACAAATTATAGATTATATTTCAAAACTGCATATCGTTTTAATGCTGAGACATACCTCAATCATTTCTTCAGTGAGCGCCTCTGAGAAATTTTCATTAAATTCGTTCAAATGTGGGTGTCGCACTCTCAGATGCCTCTTGAGGTTGCCTGTAGAACCGTTGGCAGTTGAGAGTACTGATTTGCAGTAATTGCACATGTATTTTCCTTTTTGAACGGTCGTGAAGTGGTTCCAAACAAAACTTGTTTTTTTCATTTTCATTCGTGGCCTGTAAAAATGCAGGTGTCAATTGCAGTACAGTTTGAAAGACGATTTTGTATGAAAAATCAGGATAAGGCCAATTTTAACACTCAGTTTCTACACCGAGCGGTCAAGGAATATATCTCCTAATCATACCTTTGAAATTATTATTAATAATTGACAAGGTTAACGAAAATATAAACAGCCATTTCATGGTTACTCAATTCATTTTGTATGCGTATTCCTCTAGTATGGTTGCAATATTTGGTTGAAAACCAATAAATTTCAAATCAGTTTTAGATGGGATTCAGTACTCTAACATTCTATATGAGTTTTTATAAATGACATGCCTCTTTTTGTTGCCTATTTTATTATAAAAGTAAGTACAATTCCAAAGGTAATTTTTCAAATAGAATTTGCTGGTGATATTAGATAGAATTTTAATAAGTTGGCCTAATGATCAACTTTTTTTTCTCAATATAATGTGCTTTTTTCACACCCTTTTAAAAATCCTTTCCATTCTTAAAAAAATTATATCAGAAACTCAAAAATTCATCGATTTGTTTTGGAGATATTGAAGTTTTCTTTCTGAGCTCAATAAATTCAGTTTATCATGCAACTGATTTTATTGTGTAAAGTTAGATTTAAACAAATCAGCACAGATTAAATTTTCATATTTTTTCAATTTTCTTCTTTTTTATTGGAGTTGGAAGGTAAATTGAAATTATTGAGTTCTGAAAGAAAACTTCAATATCTCCAAAACAAATCGATGAATTTTAAGTTTCTGGTATTATTTGTTTAAGAATGTTAAATGCATGTAAAAATTCATCCGCAAAAATTTGTCGATTTGTTCTGGTGATATTGAAGTTTTCCTTCAGAACTCGATAATTTCAATTTATTTTGTAACTGGTTAAAGAAAGGAAAAAATTGAAAATGTAATGGGCAAAATATGAAACTCTAATCTCTGTTGATTTTTAAAATCTAACTTTAAACTATAACAGTAATTTACACAATAAATTGAAATTTCAATTTTTTTTTTTTTGTCTGTGTGCATGTATTTATTAGCGTGAATGGCGAGGGGTGAGGGTGAATATAACGTCATCATCGCCCCTCGAACGATGAAAGCGGGTGAGTGTGTGTTCGGGGTCGATGGCGGATATTCATAAAAGTACCCCATCGACCCCAATCTAGTTTAGTTTAAGTGTAGGTCGGTGGAGGAATATCAAGTACTCCACCGACCAAACGGAATGTGTGAACTGTATGGATGTATTTAAGTGTATAAATGTATTTATTTGTATGAATGTTGTGTTTGAACGGGTATAGAATATAAAATATAGACTTAGTGGGGTGCTGAAATGACCTAGACGTCGGAAGCCCCAGCAAAAAAAAAAAAATAAATAAATAAATTGAAATTATTGAGTTAAGAAAGAAAAGTTTAATATCTCCAGAACAGATCGACAAATTTTTGAGTTATTGGTATCTTTTTTAAGAATGGAGACTTAAAAGGCGTGAAAAAAATCATTCTCAAAAATTCATCCATTTCTTCTGGTGACATTGAAGTTTTACTTCGGAACACAATAAATGAAATTTATTTTGAAATTGTTTTAAAAAAGAGGAGAAAATAAAATAAAATATGAAATTTTAATTTGTACTGATATTTTATACCTAACTTTAAACAATAGTAATCAGTTACATAATATGTTCTAAATGATGATGTTTTCCTTTAGAACTCAATATTTAATATATAATTTCAATTGATCATCATTTTTTTAGAAACAATAAATTGAAATTATCAAGTTCAGAAAGAAAAGTTCACTCTCTTCAGAACAAAATGAATATTTGAGTTTCTTCTATCAATTTTTTTTTTTTGAAAAGAAAATGTGTGAAAAAAAAATTCATCCTCAAAATTTGCTAATTTGTTCTGTGTTCTGGTGATGCTGACATTTTCCTTCACAACTCGATAATTTTAATTTATTGTGAAACTAGATTAAAAAAAAGGAGAAAGTTTACAAGATCAATCCGTTACACAATAAATTGAAATTATAGTTATGAAAGAAAACATCAATTCATCAAACAAATCAAAATAAGAAACTAGGTATAGCTATAATTTATAAGGTGCCATGGTAGATCTATTTAGGTTCTATCTATCTCTAGAATAAATTGGTGTATTTTTAAATTTTCCAGTATAATTGTTTTTTAGAATGAAAAATAGTTTTAAAATTAAAAAGAAAAAAAAGGCATTCCGTTTGAAACAAAAAGTAAATCACTAGGTCTCCTTAATTAAAATCAAAGTGCCCACAAATTCTACTTGAAAAAATTATCTTTGGAGCCAGACTTAGCTTTATAATTAAACAGGCCAAAATTAAAATTAAAAGGCCATGTCTTTTATAAAAACTCACTCAAAATAATACGTGCGTTCTAGTAAATTGACCAAAAAAATAAGCCCATTTGTTTTTTCATATGAAATTACATAGCGCTTGTTTATTAATCAAAAGGGATTAATTTAATGAAAGAATTTTATAAACACAGGCCAACAATAATACATAGCAAGAATAATTGTCAACATTTGATCATCATAATAAAAATACTTGAATAACTGACATCACTGATCAGTCAATTTTTAATTGTACTCGATGCCATAGGTTTAAAATTATGAATAGATCATATTTGTTAAACTTTTAAATCAGCAATTATAGTTTTGTAGAACTGAAAAATGTGATTTTTTTCTTTACAATAATTAGCAAGGTAGCGTAGTCTTCATAGATTATTGTAACACAACTAGTTAGAATAATCATTATCGATCATTATAATAAAAACAATTGCAAATCTGGCATAATTGATCACTGATCTGTTTAATAACATCTAGCTAGATAATGCCTGTGGTATAAAATCAAGCCAGCCTAACATTCACAAAGTCAGAATTTCAAGTCGTTGATCATACATAGCTATAATGTCAATACTGATCAATTTTTAGCTAATATAACATCAGTACAAAAACAGGAATATTATGCCAACATTGATCACACTGACTACAAGCCTGGATAATTTTAAAACAGTTTGGTAATTGAAAGGTATATTTGGAAATGAAACTATGACAGGTACTTAGTACATAGTTACATACTGATATATGGGAAGTTCGCAAATCCTATGAACCGATCTAGTTGAGAATCGGATCTTTTTTTGAAAACGGTTCTTACTTGGACTCTCGAGAACTTCCAAGGGCGCTCTGAGGCCGGCGGTTTTTTACTCCACTTCAGACGTGAAAAACCGTGTTAAAGACTAAAATTCTTCGGACGACTGAAAAAACCATTTAGCATTTAAAATCTCTTTGTTGATAAACAAACTGGGTCAGTTCGCGTCTGAAAACATGAGAGCGCTGAGCGGTGGGAGCCGAAATCGAAGAACCGCAGCCCTGCCAGACTGCTAGTGATGTAGAGCGAGATCCGGATCTTTTATTCAAAATCTACAGAATAATGTTAATTTTTTTAAATCTTAAATTGTTTAAATTCTGTTTTATTTATTTATTTTAAAAGTGCAAATAATGCTTTAACATATAATAGAAATAAATTTAGTTTTATAAGCATAGTAAAATAATAATAAAAAATACAAAACAATAATGTATTCTTTAAAATATTAATTATTTTAATGGAAGGAGGAAATCACATTATGAAAAAAAAACAGAAAGAGAATAATAATAATAATGTTTATTTACATCAAAGAATCGTACAGTTTTCCTCTATACATTCACAAACATTTTAACCATATATATATTACACAGGGCGGGCGACCAGGACCGGAGGGGTTAAAAGCCTGAGTAGGCCCGTACCCCATCCCTAAAAGGTCCGGGACCTGGTCGGCTCACGAGTCCTGCATAAACCTTTTGGACGTATTCATAAACCCCAGGATTGTGGACCATTTTATCCTGGGGAGTGTTTTGGTTATGTCCTCTCCTTCAAAAGTATCAAATCTTTCCCTAGCATACCTATCGCATTCTGCAAGCTAGTGTCGAGCCGTTTCTTCTTTTGTTTCGCAGAAGGGGTCTGGTAGAGTACCCATTATGAAGAGGTGTCTTCTCAAGGGGCAATGGCCCGTTAGGATACCTATCAGCCTCCTTATTCCCCTCCTAGAGTTAGAGAGTAACCATTTCGCTTCTTTAGGTTTGATTTCCTTCAGAAACTCCTTCGATTGCCTGCATCCGGGGGACATATTCCATTCCTTAAGGAATTGTTTCATGCCCCAGCTACTTATACTCTCTTTCGCTGTGCTTAAAGAGTGGGGTAATACCAATTGTGGCCCGACAAACGCAGTATTTGATCCTTCCTTGGCCAGGCTGTCCGCCTCCTCGTTGCCATAGTGCCCCTTATGAGCAGGTATCCATATGAGGGTTACCCTATTCTCATACCTGGTGATAGTCCTATTAATGAGTTCAACGGTTTCCTCTACCAGTCTAGATGTTGATAGTTTTTTTTGTAATGATTTTAGACTGGCCTGACTGTCGGAAAAAATTTTAATATCTTTTCCCTTAATCTTGTTATCCATAAGTGTTCTACAGCAAACATTGATGGCCCAGACCTCTGCCTGAAAGACCGAGGTGTTATTACCAAGAGGAGAGGAGATGCTGATCCCTAATTTAGGTATGTGTATTCCAGCACTGCTTCCCTTATCCTTAATGAGTGAGCCATCGGTGAAGCAGTCTAGGCTACGATGGTCATCATCAGACCTATAGTTATAGTCACAGGGAGTAACTACCTGAAAGTACTTTTTCCCTAAAGGTGTTTTCACCTTTTTATCGCTTACACCCAGTAGTTGGTTGTTGACCTTACTCAATAAATGTAGAATTTCCGAGTGTCCTATATTATTTCCCTAAACATTTTAACCATAGAGTATTGCTCCCCTGGTGAAATAAAAATGTGGAACGCTTCACGTTTTTTCGTGTGATTTATTTATTTTAAGGGTGCAAATAGGGTTTTAAGCCTCCTTACATGTACATATATTAGAAATAAATTTAGTTTTATACAAATAGTAAAATAATGATAATTCTATGAATGACCTTTAGGCACATTGTCGTATGTATCCGGCCCGGAGGACCAAAAATGTTGATGAAGATCTGGAGGCAGAGCTGAAAGTATTAGCTGCAAGTATCACTCAAACATTAGATGGCCTTCTTGCCGGCAATGACAATTCTAAAGCTTCCTTATTCTAAGTACGTATCACGCGATTGGAAAGCGTTTTTGAGAAATACACACAACAATTAATTAAGGCTTTTAGTTGAGATAAAAAAGTCAATGGCACGAGCGGGATCCCATTAATAATAATAATCATTATGGTATCAGTGCTTAAATTTGGTTAAATAATTTTGTAGAGAATCATTCTTCTTCTCATCAGTGGGTTCTATAGACTTGAAGATTTTGAGATGGTCAGCAAATGATAAAAAATCGATAAGGGTAAAACAAGAAATATCGTTTATAAAGAGTTGTTTGAACAAGAAAGGAACAAGAAGTGAGCCTTGAGGAACTCCAAAGGGGATAATTTTTTTATGACTAAAGATGATAATTTAAAAACTTGACTTTTGCCAGTGACAAAAATGAAACCAATTAAGCAGTAGAATTGCCTGAAAATTATTAGAATATAAAAGAAACTCAGTGCAGCAGGTCTTTCAAAATTGACGGTTTGTCCAAAGATGTCAGGAGTAGCGATTCTTTCAATGCGATTCCCTTTTTTGAAGGGATCGATTCTCGATTCAAGAGAATCGATTCTTTAGGTCCTTTCAACAGTTCAACTTCCAACCCTACAAGAGGTTGAGAAGTTTACATTGCTCTGACGTGGATCACGCCGCTCAAATATTGCCCTTTTTGACTTGATATCTCTTACTTTGAAACCCTTTCCTCGGTACTCGGCCGTACAACTTTTAAGCTTGGTGTTGACACTTTTTCAACAGTTCTAGTCACCATGTTTCAAGATGCGTTGGACGAACTTTGGCGTATGAACAAGAGACAGGTAAGCTTACACGTCCTACAGCGTTTTATGTTGATTTTATGTGCTTTTGCGTGACAATTCTGTTTGACGTTTCGTGCTGTCTTATGGGCACATGCGACAGGACGTCCTTTGGTGGCTGGAGTTGAAACAGGCTTGGTCCAACTGATGCCCATTTTTTTATTCAGTACGTTTTCAGCCTTTCATGCTCTAGGTGAAAAAAAATAATAAAACACGTTAATCCTAAATACAATTATTTCCATGGTAATATAATCTAAAGTCTTAATATATGTACCTACTAATAATACATGCATGTGTGTCTAGAAGAATGGAACTTTTCATTCATTGAACCAATTAACAAGATTGTGTATTTTTTCCTCATATTTTGAAAAAAAAAATGCATTTCTTTCAAAGCTAATTTCTGCTATTTTTCATCATAAGTTGAACATTAAAATTAACAGGTTGTCAATTTTATTATGTTTGTCACTGAAGATGGTACAATGCCGAAACATGTTTGAGTTCATGACTCAATAAATGACCCTGTTCTCTGATTCACAGACCAACATCCAGCATGTTGCAGCTGCATAATTTTTTTAAAAACAAACTTTTTAATAATATTCTAGCTTAACAGAACATACATTTCTTAAACTGGAAATGAAAAGTCCCTTCAAGCACGTAAAAACAGGCCCCATGATAAAAAAATATTTCAGGTCTTTGCTCACATTAGACTTACAGGAATAATGTTTCATTTTTTGCTTTCCCCATATGAGAGTACTTCCCTTAATTTTTCTGTTTTTTAATTTTTTAAACTAATTAATAGTATAACAATAACAAACTTTTTAGTAATATGTACTAGCTTAATAGGACGTAAATTTCTTAAATGAGAAATATAAAGTCCCTTCAAGCACATAAAAAAGTGCCATTATAAAAAAATGTTTCAGGCATTTTTTCGCAAATAAATGAAATAAATAAATTACTTTGGTAGTTAGTACCTAGTTTATCAGGACTTATATTTCTTAAAAGGGAAATGTAAAGTCCCCTCAAGCATGTAAAAAGTCCTATTATAAATAAAAAATGCTTCTTTTCAGATGTTTTACTTAAAAAAATAAAATAAAATAAATTACTTTGGTAGTTATTTAGTTTAACAGGACTTACATTTCTTTAAAGGAAAATGTAAGGTCCCTCAAGCACATAAAAAATCCCCATTATAAAAAATGTTTCTTTTCAGATTTTTTACTTAAAAAAATAAAATAAATAAATTACTTTAGTAGTTATTAACTAGTTAATTAGTTAATAATAATAATAATACTTTTAGTAATATGTACTAGCTTAAACAGAACTTATATTTCTTTTTAAAAAAATGTAAGGTCCCCCAAGCACATAAAAAAATTCACATTATAAAAAATGTTTCTTTTCAGATGTTTTACTTAAAAAAAAAAAAATAAAATAAAATAAATTACTTTAGTAGTTATTAACTAGTTAATTAGTTAATAATAATAATCATAATATGTACTAGCTTAAACAGAACTTATATTTCTTAAAAAAGAAATGTAAGGTCCCCTCAAGCACATAAAAAATTCCCATTATAAAAAATGTTTCTTTTCAGATGTTTTACTTAAAAAAATAAAATAAATAAATTACTTTCATAGTTATTAACTAGTTAATTAGTTAATAATAATAATAAAAATTTTAGTAATATATACTAGCTTAACAGAACTTATATTTCTTAAAAGGGAAATGTAAGGTCCCCTCAAGCACATAAAGAAAGCCCCATTATAAAAATATGTTTCAGGTCTTTTACACAAGAGACAGTGATAATGTTTCATGCTTTACTTTTTCCCTTAAGAGAATACTTTAGTACTTCCATTGTGGTCATTATGGATTTACTTTTCGAATTTTAAGAATTTTCCTCAAACGAGAACTTTTCCGAGCTTAAGAGTTGACTTTCTTAAGAGTAGAACATTTTTTCCTGATAAGAGAGTATTTCTTTAAATGAAAATGTTTCAAAAGCTTCTTTGTGGAAAAATGGTTAATATCCTAACAATAAAATATTTAAGGAATCAGTATTTCAATTGTGAGATTTCTCCAGGTTGTCAGCAGGGCGGTGAACATGAAATTTGGCCGTTTACAACCATTTCGGTCTGCCTTTTCCCACTGGGTTCATCTTCAGTGGTGGGTTTAGAGTGGTTCATTTTATAGACAGACCAATCCAGCAAGGATAAGACCAAAATGATCTTTACAGATAATTTAAGGTCATTAAAAGTTTCAGAACTTTCTTCATGTGATAATTTTTATGATTTAATTTCCTTAGAATATTTAAAGAATAATTTTTTCTCTTAAGAAAGATTATCATAATTAAATAAGTAAATAAATAATGTAAGGTCAAATTTATATTTTGAATGCTGTACTAATGAAATATTGTAACTAATAACTAAGTTAATATTTAACTTTTTAGGTGTAATAAATAAATAAAAATTGTAAAGATTATGACAAGTTGGGAATGCTTAAATAATTTCCAAACAAGATAAAAATATCAATATAATCCAATTCGTATTTTGTTTTTCAAACAGGTCTGTTGTATTTAATCAACAGATTATTAACATACTTTAATTTTTCAGTTTCTATACCAATGTCTGAGTTTTGGTATGATTGTCTCTTCGGCCCTGATGATATGGAAAGGGTTGATGGTAGTGACGGGCAGCGAAAGTCCAATTGTCGTAGTTCTCAGGTGATCAGTCATGTAAATCATATTTCAACTTCATCATTTCATCATCTACTATTTCAGTGGGAGTATGGAACCTGCTTTTCACAGAGGTGATCTTCTTTTCCTCACCAACTACCAAGACGATCCTGTCAGGGTTGGCGAAATTGTCGTTTTTAAAGTCGAGGGAAGAGATATACCTATTGTACATAGGGTGCTTAAACTACACGAAAAGTAATTAACGAAATAAAAAGTGTATGTGGTAAAAGACAGTTTTTTTACAATCTGCATGTTAATATTTTTCAGACAAAATGGAACTGTAAAATTCCTGACAAAGGGGGATAACAACAGTGTTGATGATAGGGGATTGTACGCACCAGGACAGTTCTGGCTAACTAAAAAAGATGTTGTGGGGAGAGCAAGAGGTTTTTTGCCTTATGTGGGAATGGTCACAATATACATGAATGAATTTCCAAAAATAAAGGTTTATTAGTCAAAATCAAGTTGACAAAAACAACAAAAAACTATAACTTTTTTTAATTTTCAGTATGCTGTCCTGGCTTGTCTGGGTATTTATGTACTAGTTCACAGGGAGTGATGGAATCTAGATGATCTGGGAGTTTGGATATCCAATCAATCGGACCCAGCAGCCTTTAATTTACTTTTAAGTGGAATAATCAGCAGAGTACAAAAGTATTATCAGTTCACAGGATTTATTACATAAAATTTTTTAAAAACTTAAGTATAAACGTTTTCATTATCCCCCTACTCATTTTTTTTTAAACAAGTCAACTTAGCGGTGTTTAGTCATGAGCGCAATGGCGGATAATTGAAAATAATTTTGTAATAGTTTGATTTTTTAAATTTTGTTTTATTTATACTTTACCAAAGCAAGTTATGGTTTCAATGTACATTATAATTAATGATAATAATTGTTCCTTAAAATGTAATATGACAAATACTTTTTATCAAATTATAATTATTATATGGAACAAGACATGCATTTGGTTAAACCTTTCTAGCAGTTGAAGAAATTTTCAAAACGACTATGAGAATAATAAAGTTTATATATTTTTTCTTTCAGTTAATAAAGTGTTGATTATTAATGCCTTAATTGTTTATTAATCTATAAAGATAGGGTGAGATAACCTACGATTATTTTGATCATTTCTCATTAATGGAATTCATCACATTCTCATATTGATTGCTTTAACTTTCTAGCAACCATAAAATGCAGGTCTAAAATACATTTTTTGTGGTATGTTATCTACATACATTATATCTAATTGCACAACTATGAAGATAGCAGAAAAAAAGAACTTTGAAGGGTCATAAAACACCACAGGATAAGAAATTCAAAAATATAAAAATATATTTACATATGCTGGAACTTTTGAAATGTAAAGAAGAATTAAAATTAAAAATAAATAAATAAAATAAAAAACAGAAATAAATTATACCAAAGTTATGTAGGTAAAAATCAGTAAGATTTTGTTTAATATTGTCATTATGAAAATCAACAACAATCTACAAACTAGACTTTAACATTTTTTTTTGGGGGGGGGTGACTGACCACTATGTTAATGTATTGACTCATCACCATTAACTCTGCATTCAACCTCGCAGTTGAAATAACCCCAAAAAATAAAATATTTTTAACAATTAATTAAGATTTTTTAGTTGAGATAAAAAAGTCAATGGCACGAGCGGGATTCGAACCCACGATCTTCGGCTAGATACGCCGCTGCTCTACCACTTGAGCTATTGTGACCACGATCCATTCGGACACTAACTTCTCATCTCAACCCCACCTTTTCAATTTTCCCTCCTATTTGCCATTTTACAAATATCCCGCTCGTGCCATTGACTTTTTTATCTCAACTAAAAAATCTTAATTAATTGTAATATATTAATAGGTCAAGCGGACCACGAAATTAGTGAATTTAATATTTTTAACAGAAGTTTTTGCTTGCACTTACATGAATGCTTCATTGACCCGTTTTACAAGCTAGATTATAATGTGTTAGCAAACAACACTAACACAGTATTTCTAAAAGACTACTTCCAGAGGGGCATCAGTGGCCTGCGGTTAGAGCATTGATATGGTACTCATCACTGTAAGGTAAAGGTTCTGGGTTCAAATTCAGCAGCCCCGAATTTGAATTTGACATATTTACAAACGGATTTTTTTTAAATCACCGGAACCCTAATTTCTGCTGTGGTGACCCTCAAAAAAAAAAAAAAAAAAAAAAAAAAAATCCCTAACCACCCTTCTAAACTCTATCACCGTATACACAGCAGAATTGACAGCCATAGATAAAGTACTTGAATACATTAAAAGCAGGGTGAAACTAAATTTGTTTTTTATTTGATTTACAAATTTCGTAAGTTAGTTAATATCTCATTTTAAGGTAACAATAATAAAAATTAAAAGAATGGGTTTTCATGTTTTAAAAATCAATTGGCAATATTTCCAAAGCACACGACCAAGATCATATTCTGCTGTTTTTTTTTCTTCCTGGTAACATCTGCACATGCTTGTTTCTGTTCCAAGTCTATACACGTGTCTCCGGAGTCTGCAGTATCAGTCAGCAGTTCAACCATTCTAGTCTCCTAGCACATTCTAGATTTAATAGTTCTACTGTTGGTTTCTTCGATGGACCTTTGACGGACTTTGTCGCACCCACTCTTACTCCATCGCCTGTTGAATTTAAGTGTTTTAGCAGTTTGGTATGTCGTAAAAGGGTTCAGGGCCAATAGGTGTAATTAGTAACAAACAAATAATTTACAATAGTATCTAACATTGGTCAGGACTTACGGGCTAGAACTGCCGAGCATTCTAACGAATCTGAACATCCCAATTCAAAATGCTCAGAAAAATCCCAAATGCTCCCTTCTACATGCATTAAAACGAAATTGTCCACAATGACCTTAACATAACCTTGTATGTTTCTACATTCTAACACATCCTAGTTTAGTAGTTTCTGTGATGGTCTTTAATCACCTTTTTCACATGGCTCTTCATGGAATGCAACCCATTGAACCGAGGACTTATCCTTTACCCATTCATTGTCTGATGGATCTGTTTGGCAATTTGTTATGCTTTAAAGTGTTCAGGGCCGAGAGGTGTCCACATTGAGCTTTCCCTGGCTAATTTATTGGCCTCCTTGTTGCCCCGCTGCACTGTCTCCAAGGTCTCTTTATGATCTTATGCTTCATGACCAATATTGGTATATTGTCGATTTCACTTATCGGTAAGCTTAAGTCTTTTTATCAGAACCCAAAGCTTTGCTAAGGGCTCCCAGATGTTGAAAATTCAACCTGTACAGACCTCTGCACCAATCGAGAACATATTCTGCTGTTTCTTCTTTTGTATGGTTTGTTTCTGCTGTTTCAAGTCTACACACACTTTTATCAGCTCAGCAGACCAACTATCATTCTAGTCCTAGCACATCCTAGGTTTAGTAGTTCTGTGATGAACGATCTTTTGATGAACTTTTTCGTACTTATTCATAATCCATCGCCTGATGAATTTTTGTTTTTGAAAGTTAGTTATGGCCAATATTTGTAATCATTAAAAAATTTACTAATTTACAAATAGTTTTTTAAAAAACTGTCACTCTGTTTCATTCCTTCAAACTGTCTTTGCGATTGAAGATCGAGGCAGATATTCAGTCTCTATTTAAGTTTTTTCCAGTAAATCATTAAATGTGTGTATTTCTATAAAAAATAGAGCCTGTTATTCTAAGATTTTCAAGAGTGAAAGTTTAAAGTTGTTTAATCAACACAATTGGGACAAATTTTCTTAAAAGTATTTCTTGCAGATGCTCCTCACTGAGCAAATTTTGCTACCACGTTCTGGCATCAAAGAATGCAGTTTTCAAAGCTATGATGACTTACGACCCGATTTGACAAATATTTTTTTATATTCTTTGGCATTCTGAGTTGATGTCCAGTAATAAACGTTTGTTGATTTTTTTATTTTTAATTACTCCAATTGGTATACCAAGTAAAACAAGGTAAGGATAATAATGAATAAAGGATAAAGAACATTTTAATAATATATTTCTACATATTGTTTTCTTTTTTTATAATGGATTTTCAATGTTCGTCTGTACCATGCTTCAATAGAAAAATAGTTTCGATTAGCAAAGAAACAGACCAATACAACAATATACTAAACAAATATGTTTTCTCATTTTCTTTAATACATAAAGATACTTCTGTTCATAAAAATATTGTAGGTTAAATTTATTAGCAACAAAGAGCAATATACTACTCATCAAAATAATAAATTCAGTCTTTTACTTTTAATAGAACACTCACAAGGTTTCTGGTCTTGGAAAAAAAACAATAGAAATTCTCAGGAATAGAATTAGAAAATAGGTACAGTCTACACAGAAATAAAGCGTGACTAATCTTTTTGTTATGCGGTGAAATATCTTAATGGAAGGAAACAAAGGATTTAAGGCACTTAGAGAGTCAAAACCTGAACAATCTAAACGATTATTAGAGTTATAACTTTTTTTTTTCGCTTTTTCAATGATTTATTTTATACTGAACTATTTATCACTGTTTTCCCATCACAGTTTGAACTCCATTTCGAGCCAAGCCCTGGCTTGAAACGCAGTTAAAACTGATGAAAAAAATCAGTGATTAATTAATTGTTCAAAAAGTGTAAAAAAAGTAAATACTATAATAGTGGCAAAACAAAAAAATTAAAATTGTATTAACTGATTATTAACAAATTCAAATTATTTACAGTCTCGCAAGGGAGGTAGTTTATCGAGACTGTTTCCCCTTTTTAAACTTATAACTGAATTTTTGGACCTGAGAGTTTTAAAATTCCCTATAATTTTTTCATTATCACTAATTCACTCCTTAACAAATAGTTTAATCCTATGAAATACATTATATAGAGCTCAAAAATTATTTATAATCCCTGCTGTATTTTTTATTTTATTTTATGCATTACACTAATGCAAGAAGCTTCATAAAGTTAATTAGAAAACATTAATTTCTGTTCGTATAGTTGAAAAAATATTTAAAGCTCTTTGTTAAATATAATATATTAGGAATTATATGATTCATTTATTAAAAATGGCAAGTTTGTTTAAAACGATTTTTTTTTTTGGTTAGGTACGCAGTCATTTATAATGAAATACACGCAAAACACTTCAAACTGTACTAAAAATTAACCTACTGGCAATAGAACATTTACATCTCTAATAATACTGATTAAACAATGTTTTAAATTAAACAGTCAGTTAATTATTATTGAAGATTATCACAATTCAAACCACCGATATGTGATAGAGAAGACATGAAAAAATCAGATTTGAAGTGCTTTATTGTTAGGGCGATGACGGCTTCTGGAAGCATTGTGAATTCACTTAAACCTTGTAATCAGGCGTCTGTTGGCGTCGGCTATTTGAAAAGCGAGACTTCTCACAGATTCGGCGCATTTTTCCAATTCTGTGCACTCAAACTGTAATCTCGTGGTGCTCGTGTTCAGCTGGTACATCCAAGAACGAATCTCATCGTCGGTGAGCTTCTAATATATGAAAAAATCCTGATTAAGTCAAATATTAAAAAGTAAAAAAAAAAATTACCTGGGGGAAAATTGCAGTTAACTCGGCGACAGCCACCCTGATCCTCTCGGCGCAAGGGACATAGACAAAGTTAGATTCTGGCGGTCTCACTGCTGACCAAAGTTCCTGTATCCTTTTAGTCACTTGGTTTGTTCGGCGAATCACCTCTTCTGGCAATGGCATTACACTCTAAAAATATCACACAATGAAAATCCATTTAAAGCAGTTTTTCAATAAAACTGACCTGAACACGTATGGCATCTCTAGGTTCATACATTGAAGCTGGCCGTGGCGAAGGGAGGGAATTTTGCGAGGTAGGCCTGAGTTCCATAACAGGATCCGGTTCACTCTGAGCAACTGATACTTTCAATGACCTTTTAAGCTTCTCATTTTCTATATTCACTTCATCCACCTAGTAATTTCCGAGGGTTGTATTACACGCGGCTAATTGTAATGTATAAGTGATTAGAAACACTCACCCGTTTGTTCAACCTTTGAATTTGAACTGACAACTGTGATTCCCTAGCTTGAGCAATTAACAATTTTTCCCTTAATTCCCTTTCTAACGAAGTTTCTGCCTTTGCTATCGTGCTCTTGGCAGGTTCAGACAGCATTAATGGAAGACCTCTGGAATTCTGAGCCACCTGTATGCATTATACTGTGATAGTTATGATTGTATTTGGAATAAAAGTAAAATACGTAAGATCTTTTTAATTTATAATACACATAAATTTTATTTTACAAATGTAATAATGTGTGGCTTACTTTAAGGAATTCTTACATAAAAATAAATTAAAAATACACCAATTTCTTGAGAGCTCTATCATAATACACTGCCATAAAAAAAGAGTTTTAGAAAAATTTAAAAAATTCCTAACTTCAGTCATTCATCAGTAAATCCAAAAATTCAAGAACTTGCCAATTTTTGCACTTTTTATGTAAAATTCAAATTGAGCTGTGGAGACAGGAAATCAGCTTTGGAGCGGTGCCATAGGAAATTTTAATAAGCTTTCAATTCAACTTTTCACTTTGCCTGATTTCTCAACCTTTTTCAAGTCATTCGCGATTTTTAGGCAAAAATGTGTTTTTTCCATGCATGTTGAAGACTCGATCACTGCCGAATTTTTGAATTTACTAATGAATGACTGAACATAGGAAAACATTTTAAAAAGCATAGGTCTGACACTTAAAAGGCTGAGAAAATACGCATGACCAAAGTTGGCCATTGATTGAATATAATATTTTTTTGCATTGTATAAATTCACTTTTTTCCACATCCTACATGTTTTTGATAAATTTAAATAATCTTTATAAATCCTAGGCCCTGAAGATGATCTCAATAAAGATTGAAACATTGGCACGATAAAGAAAATGTTTTTCTGAAACCTGCGTCACACTAGACTGCATCTACGATCTCTGAATAATTATCGACTAACGGTCACTAATCACCACGCATTAAATTTTTTTTTAAATTGGCCTTATGATCTTTGCATATTAGCCATGACGAATTCTTATATATGTTGTTCAAATTGGGGGTTATCGGGAAAAAAGGACCAGAGGCGACGGTGGGAATTGAACCCACGACCGCGGCGTGAGAGTCTCTCATGCTAACCACTCGGCTACCGCGGTCCCTGCATTAAAAAATTAATTTTTTTTTTTAAAGAAACATACACTGAACAAGATGGCTTTTTTAAATGGTTTCCTAACTTCAGTCATTCATCAGTAAGTGATCAGTGTCAATTTTTGCACTTTGTATGTAAAATTCAAATTAAGCTGTGGAGACAAGAAATCGTCCTGGAGCAGCACCCTTTAGCAAACAATAGGAAATCTTAATAAGCTTTCAATTCAACTTTCCACTTTGCCTGATTTATCAACCGTTTTCAAGTTATTCACAATTTTTAGGCAAAAATGTGTTTTTTCCATGCATATTGAAAAACTCAATCACTCCCGAATTTTTGAATTTACTAATGAATGACTGAACCTAGGAAAACATTTAAAAAAGCAATCTTGTTCAGTGTAAAATTTTCTAAAACATGAGCCCTAGAATAGGTCTGACACTTAAAAAGCTGAGAAAATATTCATGGCCATTTTTTCATGCAAAAACAAATGTTTTTTTTTTTAATTTTTTAAAATATTGGTAGTGTATAATAAATCTAGCTTATAACTAGTTAACAATCCCATCACCAATAAGGTAAATAATATATAAAATAGGTTATCTTTAAAATTTATTTAGATAATTAGAACTAATATCTGTATTTTACCATAATCGCCAGTTGTTCCACAGTTGCATAATCATCATCAGAGGCTACACTATCATAAAGTGGTTCCTCTTCAGTGTCTTTAGTCTTTTCTTTAACAACAAATAAAATAAATTAATTTATTACATTATAAATATAATATAAATTAAATATACTTTTGGTATTCTGTCTTTTATGTGCATCATGAAGAATGTCTAAAATTAAAGCAGAAAACTCCTGAGTGGATAGCCTGGCCAGTTTTTGGCGTCCCTGATTCCTCATTGATGAGAGATCGGGGTCGACTGGAAGGAAAGGAACCGAAGAATACTCTAACGAAGCACCACTTGAAAGCCATACTACAAAATAAATTTTTTAAAATAAAAAAATAAATTTTGTTTAATCAGAGTATTGAGAAATTTTTAAAATCGTACTTGTTTCAGTCTCACGTCTATCCACCTCATCATAAACATCCATAACAAATTCTTCAAATTGGTTATTGTTCAACTAAAAGAAAAAAATGTTTACATTTCTGTTTACGAAACAAGAAAATTATGTGGTTTTACCTGGCTAAGTCTGGATTTTCCAATATCTGATGGTGATGGGTTGACAAGGCAGTCTCTTGGCTCAGGAAGGACAAAATGCTGCCCAGCTTGATGGTCAGGCCTGAGCCTCGTCAAAAAATAAATCAAACGATCAGTCACTGTGTACAGCATTTCGACTAAACGCATCTGCACTTCCCTATGGCCTGAGAGTCTGAAAGAATTACATTCACGTATAAATTGCATATTTGTAATTTTTAAATAACCTACTTTGCTATATGCATGGCAGTGTTTCCGTGAACATCTTTGGCATTCGGATCAGCACCGTAAATTGCCAACAGTTCGATTTGGGAGAGTTGGCCGGCTTTTGCTGCTACGTGCAACGCTCGGGTGCCCTTTTCCTAAAAAGAAACGATTCATTGGCTGTTTTGTATTGTGTGCATACTGGAATATATGAACTTTCAGCTTTACCGGGTGAAGAAAATTTGGGTCTGCTCCTTGAGCCAAAAGCCTTAAACTTGTGTCTATGTTCGAAGTGCGGACGCTCGAGTGTAGCTGTAAATTCAAATCTTCTGGGCTCACTGTACTTTTCAGAACAAACTGAAGTTCTTTATGCTTCGCTCTTATAAATTCAGCTTTGTTCGGACTGAAAATACAGGAAAGTATTAGGAATTGTTTTTTCTTTTTCTCAACAACATGAACAAACTTACTGTAAAGGATCTTTTGGTGTTGGTTTTTTCTTTGATTTAACTTCTCCCAATGAGTGCTCCCACAAACTATTTATTCCTCCATTGTTTAAATTCTGAACCATCTACATTAAAAATCACGCTGTTAGTTTTTACATTTATTTTATTATGTTACAACTGTGATAGAGTGTTACAAACAACTTTGTTGTATTTATGAAGTTTATATTATAAGAATGAATAAGTAATCCATTAATTACACTCCTTTCCCAGCACTATTCACTTTCCTCACTAGGGGGGGGGGATCACGTGTACTTTGGTGCTTTACGCATCTTTGAAGGATTGTCGGGAAGGGTTTGGGACAAAAAGTGTAGGGATGAGAATCCAGGGTTGGACATTCCATGGTGTCTACATCGATTTCCTCCAATTTGGAGGACAAAAAGAAATGGAAATATCTGTGTGGATACAAAGTTGGGAGCTTGGCCAGTGGCTCGAAGAATTCTGAATTGGAGTGACTGGATTCATTGGAGGTGGAACTGAACAGTGTTGCTGGATACATAGTAAGGAGTATTGACTATGATTCTGAGGACTTTAGCTTAGAAGGACTCTATATTTTTTTATGTTGGAAGGTTTAGTGGTGCTCCACAGTTCTAGTCTGTACATCCAGATTGGTTTTATTTTTTAATTTATTTTTATTATTTTTATTTTTTAATGAGGTTTCGCAACAGCAGAGGTCATATAAACCCTCAGGGTGCCGGTCTTTTTGAAAAAAGACCCATTTTTAAGTATGTCTGGTTCGAATGCAGGGCCGGTGGATTCGAACTTGGGACCTTTATCTTACAGTGATGAGCGCCGTGTCAACACCTAAACCATTGCGGCCACCGACGCCCCGCCCCCTTGGTTTTAATATTCCCTTGTATATTGTGTTTATTTTATATTTAATATAAAATAAACTGATTTTACAGTGATGAGCGCCGTATCAACATCTAAACTGTTGCAGCCACCGACGCCCCATGTCAGTTTATTTTTCATTGAAATGTTAGATTTGCATGACAGTAGTTTGTAGATTAGTTCAAAATGTTTTTGTTTTAATGCCTGTTGTTTTAGTTGTGCGTATTGGTTTTCCATATTAGTCTTGAGACAGAGGCCAAGAAAGCAGACGCAGTTTGCTTTTAGAATAGGAGTATTATTGAGGAATATTGAATGAGGGGCCTCAAAAGGTGAATGGTACATGTTTTTTTTGCTTTCATTGGGTTTTAGGACTATGAAAAACACATAGTTTTGACCAGTGTTTATAGAAAGATAACCAAGTCGGTAGGTCATTTCATTGTTTTAAGTAAGACATGACAGACAGTGTGGTGCATATCACCTGGTGGTTTTGAAACCAAGTTGGAGGGGTTGTACCTTCCAAGTTCAGTGCAATTGACTCAATCCTTCTCGGAAATATTAGGAAATATTTAGACTGTTGCTGCTACAATTTCATTCCCTAGGTTTTTTATGTATGCTAGGTTATGTTTCCATTGAGCTTTTGGTTGGTTCAATGATCATTCTCGCCTCTCTTATCCACTCAGAGGGACTGTACTTCAATATTTGGGGATCACAATGCCAAAGGGTGGTCCATTCGACCTGGGCTGGGGGGCATAACCTGAAAAGGTGAGCCTTGTGTTCTCGGGCATTCCCTAACTCAACCCAGGTCCCATGGGAAGACCTATCCTAACCCTTGGATGTGAGGGGGGTTTCCAGGCATCGTGGGACATTCCAGGCACATAATAGTGTAGCCCTGAGAGCGCGGTGAACTCTTTTTAGCACAAGCTGTATTTGTGTGATAGTTATATGTCAGCAGGCGGACGGTGGGTGCTCGATCAGTAGTATAGATGGGGGTACCAAATCGTGTCTGCAAAGGAGGTATAACCATCTGAATTATGGTACGCTTAGTTCCAAGCCCCGTAGTGCTCTACATGGGAATGGATTCATAGTGGTTTAGTGGCGAGACACCTGATGCGTACTTAGAGTTGAGCCTGTTGTTCGGTTGTGTCTTTATTGACTTCTTTTACTGAAGGCAGTCCTAGGAGGTGGTTTTAAATTCCACTGTAAACAAAACCGTGACTGGAGCAGATCCAGTAGTTCCGTGCTGGTAGGACCCCAGAACTCTCTGGGAGTTACCTTTATTTAGATAGTAATGTGGAAAGCCAACTACGCATTTCAGTACCAAGTGAGTGGTTGACCAACAGCTTTGCGACACGTAGTCGGGTGCATAGATGTTGACCCACGCCATTGGAAGGGGCCAGTAGAAGAAGTTACCTTAGTCTGTGGATGAGTGGCTTCTACACTAAACCTCGCAGGATTAACACTGACCACTTGCGAGCAGAGGTGTGTTACTCCTATCTTGAGAAACTAAACATGTGATAAGGCCATGTGACAGGTGTGCACGTTAAAGAACGTCATTGTCATTCTGATGACATTGCGACCCCCAATGGGTCTTATTACTTCTTTGTATTGGCAAGGGCCATTTTTGGTTTTACTGCTCAAGAGCTTTTACAGGGAGTGACTTGAAGTATTCATGGATACAAGTATTCATCTAACGAAACTGACGAAAAAAACCCTTTTTAGGATGTGTAAACATTAATGACTAAATAAACATTGCTTCAAAACACAATAAAGATAACATAGAATTATTGAAAAATGCTATGAAATTGTTTTGTAAATATTAAATATTTTTTGTTTACTTTAAGCTGGGATATGTTCCAGTGAGACCGTTTGAGGCTTTTGACCTGGGAAACGTGCCTTCCGAGGCTTCTATGGATGCTGCAGCACTCGTCGCATACCAGCAGCCCCCTGTTGACCACGGCCCAAGGAGGATCTGCAAATTGGTAAATGACAAACCATTTAAAACCACCGGACATCTTAAATGACAAAACCGCATACCAAGGGATCCACAATCCGCACAAATATCCGCGTGTTTCGCCAATTTGTTCATCCTTGGCGTTACGAACGTTTCCAAGACCAAGAAGTATATCACAGAAAATATTGTCTTAATTAACGTCAATTAGTCACTACCGAGTCATCTTTAGTATCCCTGTACTCTAACGTAACCTTTCATTTACGTCAAGGTTGAAATCACCTATTATTTCCTTTATAACATCCGGTGGCGACATCTGTCCTCTCGTATCTGAGAGACGGTCTCTTATGATCGTACCTTAAGATATCGTTTACTTAAGAGCATTTTTTTCATATTGGACCGCCTCATCTCGCTTGTTCTCAGTCCTGACACACGACATAAAACAATTTTGACAATACAACTCAAAAAATAAATTTTTTACCACTACAGAATTAATGAGACAAACTACAATTCAATTTTTTCTATCATAATGAAATTCTATTTTAAAAGATTTTAAACAATGATTGATATAATTTTTTTATTATACCGTGTTATAAGTATTAAGTACGGCCCTCCCGTATCTTGACGAACCCATTGACGTACAATGGGTATCTTGACACTTTACCTGTGACGTACTTAATTTTCGGCCAGGTTCAATTCCTCAGTACCTTTAAAAGGTCTCTTACAAATTTGGACCAACAAGTGATTTTTTCTTTTTAGCCTTTGTTCTCTTTCGCCTAGGTGAGTTTATGAACGTAATACTAATTATTTACATACTGGTTCATATTGTTTATTCCTAGTATTATTAGATTTGTATATTGCTTTTTTAACGAGTTGCTCTCCTTTGTCCCTTATCACGAGAAATTCACCGGGTTACTATTCACCTTCTTTTCTACCTTTAATTGTCAAGTAAGAATACCCTATTGGACGAATATTTTATAGGGATATGGGCCAATATCCGACTGGAAAAATATATAGATATCATTATGCGACAATCGTAGTAGATTGGCCAAAAGCAATGAAGAATATTCAATAAAGCTATTGGTTATCTCATGGATTAATTAATCAAATTCGTAAAACATCAGCATCATATAGTATGCACGGTGGGCGACCAAGACTCGAGGGGTTAAATGCCTGGGTAGACTCGTACCCCATCCCTAAAAGGTCTGGGACTTGGTCGGCTCACGTGTCCTGCATAAATCTCTTGGACCTGTTCACAAACCCCAAGATTTTGGACCATTTTATCTTGAGGAGTGATTTGGTGAAGTACGCTCCTTCAAAGATTTCAAATCTAGACCTAGCATACTTATCACACTCTGCAAGGTAGTGCCTTGCCGTTTCTTCTTTTATTTCGCAAAAACGGCAAAAGGGATCTGGTAAAATACCCATTAGGGAGAGGTGTCTTCTCAGTGGGTAGTGGCCCGTCAGAATACCTATCAGCCTCCTAATTCCCTTCCTTGAGATAGAGAATAGCCATTTCGATTCTGCTGGTTTGATCGCCTTAACAAACTCTTTCGATTACCTGTGTCCGGGGGATAAATTCCACTCCCTAAGGAATTGTTTCATGCCCCAGTTGTTGATATTCTCTTTTGCTACGCTCATAGAGTGTGGTAATACCGGTTGTGGCTCGACAAATGCAGTATTAAAACCTTCTTTGGCCAAACATCAGCATTATAGTTTTACATACTCTTCGACCTTACCTGCCAGGTCCTGGTCAATAGCCTTCCTTCTCCACTGCTTTGCTTCCGTCCTCCGCCTTCCGAGGTCATAATTTTTTTAAAAATTGTGGATACCAGGACTTGGAGGAGTTCCTCAGACCACTGCAGCTTTATAGCTTATTGCAATTGTGGCAGTGTTCTTCCATCGAAGAAGTCCTGGACCTTCCATTGATAAGTGACAACTTTCATTGTACCTTACTCTTCTCTTAAGTGTCTGAAAAAAATCCAGTGGCGATGGTGAGAATTGAACCCATGACTGCAAGATCTACTAGCTAAGAGTCTGACACCTTAACCACTTGCCTACTTTAGTCCCTCCTTGTTATCTTAAATGAGGAACGTTGTGGTCTCTTACCACCTAGATATCCTAGATAAATCCTCTTTATCCATAACCAACCTATGTAGATGGCCTAGCCAGTGCAGTCATTCCTCCTTTATTACATTTTTCTTATTTGGTACCTTCAGTACCATCTGCACAACTGTCCTGAAAAATAACTTTAGAATCTTCATCTCTCCCCCTTCAAATAACAGATATCTCCCAGCAGCAGTCATGGTCCAGGTCTTCCATCCTTACAACATCACAGATCTGATGACTGTTGTAAATATGGCAATTTTTAATTGTCTGGATATATTTTTATTCAGAAGGGTAGAAGGCCAAGTTGTGAAACACCTATTTATATTCATTTGTCGTACAATTCTGCATTTGATGTTCTGCAGTGAGTGTCGAGCTCAGAAACCAATGCAAGCAGCCATCCCCAACCTGTGAGTCCCTGAACCTTCTTAGTCTTCTGGTTGCTACAGTATAATTAGTGGTGTGTTCTTTCTCCTGGAGTCTGAATTCTGCTCCCTCTTCCAATTCTATACACATTCCTGTCAGCATCACATATGCATAGGCAAGGTACTGAGCACATCATTATAATAAACTTTCTCAATTATTATTTTCCTCATGGCCAATTCAACACCAAATTTAATAGAAGTGGTGACAGCAGATCTGTATCAAGCCTATACCTACTGGGAATTGCTGTGATAACTTCTTGCATCACCAATCACGTTGGGGTTCATATAGTGTCTTTCTCACTGAACTAATTAGCTTTACCAGTATTTATTTCTCTCTCTTACAACACATCAAACCCTCCCTGGATATCATGTGCCATCTAACTCCACATATAGCTGGTGTAGCACTTCCTAGAAATTTCCCAATTTCATTCTTAGGGTGAAAATGTCAGTAATTGATCTGCCTAGACAGAATTTGAACTGATATCATATATCCTGCTCTCTTAGTAACATGACTGCCAACAAGTTGTTGGCCACACTCAACAGGGAAATTTCTTTTGGGGGCGACGGTGGTCACAACGGTTTAGGCATGATGAGCACCATGGTCACTGTAAGGTTCTTGGTTCGAAATACAGCAGCCCTGCATTCAAACTCGACATACTTATAAATGGGCTTTTTTTTTAAATACTACCATGCCAAGGGTTCATATGAGTTGTTTTGATGAGCAATGTTCAGTCATCATAACCAAGTTAGTCATCTTCTGTTTCCTCTTTGGGTGTTAGGTTCGCCTTTCGTATCTGCCCTCCTATGGCAGTTTCCAGCCAGCTTTGTATCATTCTCTGCATATTTTGAGCGGTAAAGGACAAAATGTGCATGAAAAATATACCCGCAGATTCTCTGAAGGGTCTAGATTAGGATGGCAAACAAAAAATCGACCTGATGTTGAGTTCGCCCTTTGCATTGTTACCAGTTCTTGCTCGACTGTTGACAATCCACCTGGTCTCCAGGGGCTAAATGGAGATTTTTCCGTGGCTATTTCTTTTCTCAAAAAAATAAATAAATAAAAACAATAATAAAAATAAAAAATAAAGAAAGGAAAAAGTAACAAAACAAGCTCCCTCCAGGAAAAAAAATCGCATAAATAAAATAAAAGTCTAAATCTTGTCCTGGTTCTTTCATCCTGTCACAGCTTGGTTCTCCTCTTGCACATGCGAACTCTCCGGCAAGAAGAAAAGTCCCCAGATAAAAAAAGTCCTTTTTCTCTTTTTGTTTTACTTGTCCACACCACGAGTTCAAGCCTGAGCCTCACCTGTCCTCGCCGGCCTGGGCCCACTCCTCGCTGATGTCCCTGCTGAGCCCTGGCTGGGCCTCCTTCGATTTCCAAAGACCACCCTCGAGTCTTCGGCCTCTTGCCAACTTCGCTCAACCTTGCCGAGGGCACTCTCATCTTTTCTCAAATCCTACCCCAGTGCAAATTTTTTCCCCTTCTTATTTCCCACTCGTAACAGTATCCACAATGCCTCATATAAATTCACAGTTGAAAACACTCAAATTGGTTATATGAGTGCAGTCTTACAATCTTTCAGTATCTCGCCTTCAGAATTAGATTATACAACCTTCTTATATCTTCTTTCCTTCAGACTTTTTAAAATAATTTCTACTGTAATGCCATCACCCTCAGGAGCATTATTACCACTCATACTTTCAAAGATTTCATCAAAATCATCTCTTGAGGGCAACACATCATTATCGTCTGATGGTAATACATTTCACCAGTCTCTAATATCATTTGTGACTTATTGAAACTTCTCTCTATCCTTATCTTCTAATTAACCAACATTTATTGGGAACTACCCTTAATCTTTCTTACTATCACATATTCCAGGCAACTTTATTAAAACTATTCATAGCTTCATCAAAAATCATCATGGTCTTCCTAGTTTTGCTGGTTTATCTTTCAGACCCATTTTTACATTTTACCATTTCGGTGACTGGTCCATGGGATGGTTACACATTCCTGACAGTCAAAACTAGAAAAAAACACCAGAAAGATCAGGAAGCAAACCAGGATAGGACGTTCAAATACAATCAAGTTAAAATACCAAATTTAAACCTAATATGGGGATCTGCGATAGCTTAGTGGTATGGGTGTTAGGCTTTAAGGCTGTCGGATTCCCATTGTCCAACATGTTTTCCAAACAATAAAAAAAATCTGTACATAATCATTGAAATGCATAAAGAGCAGCATACAAGGGAAGAAGAACTTCCTAATCATGTGTAATGTTAAATGGCCTGGCACTTTTTCAGAAACAATTTTTTCACAACCTTTAGTATTTTGAACATAGAGTAGAAATGGTGTGTAATTTTAGACATTCACAAAATATTTTTGTATATAACATGCCCTTAAAATTTGTCCACCAACGATCACATACTCTCTTATAATGCCAAAAAAACTATATTCTTTCTCAGAAATTCTAAATAAATAGTTGAGGTTGTAAGAATTTTATTGTATTTTTTTAATATTTAATTAACAGAATATAAATAAAAAAATTCAGAGTTAAATTTTCCAAGCTAGTTTGTTTGGATTGTACTGTAAAAACTTGTTTTATGATATTAATGTGATAAGTTTCTGATTTTTTTGCAACTTAGTATTCAGATAATTAAGGTTTTAAGTTGAGATAAAAAAGTCAGTGTCACGAGCGGGATTCGAACCCACGACCTTCGGCTAAATACGCCGCTACTCTACTACCTGAGCTATCGTGACTTCGATCCACTTGGGCACTAACTTCCCATCTCAACCCCACCTTTTGAATTTTCCCTCCTTTTTGCCATTTTTCAAATGTCGTGTAATCTATTTGATTCTCGGTGACAAATGAAATGGCCACGGAGAGGTTTAGTGAAGTATACTTCATTTTAATTCATTAAATTCACTATTTTTCGTGGTCCGCTTGACCAATTAATATCATTCAATTAATTAAGGTTTTAAGTTGAGATAAAAGTTAATTAGTTGGAAGTTAGTGTCTGAGTGGATCAAAGTCACGATAGCTCAAGTGGTTGAGTAGCGGTGTATCAAGCCGAAGGTCATGGGTTCGAATCCCGCTCGTGACACTGACTTTTTTAACTCAACTTAAAACCATAATTAATTGAATGATATTAATTGGTCAAGCGGACCACGAAAAATAGTGAATTTAGTATTCAGATTTGTGTACTGTCTTAAAGTTGATGAACCTAATGATCATTGGTCATCCTAGTCTGCTCTATCTCACTGATTTTGTCTGTCAGACTTGTTTAGGTATTTAAATTTTTTGGTGTTTGGACTGTGTGGTTTCACGCACCCAATAGTGCCTAGATCACATTATGATGCAGAGAATTTCGCCCTTAGTTAAAATTTTATTGAAGAGTTATTTTGTCATTTGTTTAATTGAATTAACATCCATGGAGGAATATTTTCTTTATTTTGTCCTGGCCTGACAATTAATAATTACTTGTGATCATTGTTAAAATTTTAGTTACAATGGTTACACTACGATCCACAAACCAGTAAAAATAGGCTGTCAAAGATAGAGACATATAATAATAATAATATATGCCAACAAAAGTAGAGTATGCAATTCTCATGCTTGATACTTCTTGCTGCAAGAAGTCTAATTGTTACTAAATTTTACTGATCTAATTTGGAAATCTCCCATTTAAGACAGTTGATCAAAAGTCAATATTGTAAAGTGTTTGACCAATATTATTTTAAACAAATTCAACAATCCAACATTTTCAGACTGTTGGTGTCTCTAAACTAAATAAAATAGTTTGCTATGAAGATGAAATATCTCAATTTTCAGGGTGTGAAGCTTGAGATTGAATAACACTTTCTCCAATTTGCTCTTGTAGTTTCTATTTAAAATTTCAAGGATTTTTTCTCAAATGCTTTAGTAGCCATTCATTGTATAAACTTAATGGCCTTTTGAAGGAGAAAACAAATTTTCAATAAAAGTTTTGTGCAAAAAGCTACTTTTTCAAACGGTTTTAATTTGAAGTTAATTTTTTTTTGTGGATCAAATCGGATTTCACATAACACAATACAATCGTTTATTTGTAAGAAAAAAAATCTGTTTTGCAAATAAACTTGTAATTTACATAATTATCCGTTTTATCGAAGCGATTTACCCATCTGACTCGTCATACCGATGGCATTTAAAACATAGGATTCAAATCTTCTTTCTTAGAGTCTTATATAATGGAAGAAGTCCCTGAAGACCAAGCAGGGTGGGAGAACACTCTCACTCCCAGTGAAAGGGGGTCAGCGTTCAGTTTGGTGCTTGCTCTTGAGGAGGACAGTTCAAAAACAAAGTTCAGTTTAGGAGTTAAGGAGGCAAAGAGTAAGTTCATTTGAAAAATAATAAATATGATGGGAACCTTTAAAACAATGAAGGGAAGTTTTGTTTTGTAATAGAGGGGATAAAATTAAACGGTAGTACTTAATGCAAAACCGATTAATACGTCGAATCAAGGACAAACAATGATATTTCTTTACTTATTGTTAGTTGAAATCATAAAATTGAATTGGTTTTTTTTAAAACTTCATTAAAAAGATTTGACAGTAGTGAAAATATAGAGTACATATGAAATCTATTATAATAAATTATGGCATATTACTTGCAAAAAATAAGATAGTTCTTGCTTTAGAATTTTTCTACACTGACAATCTTTTTATAAATTTTTAAAATTATTTAATGATCCTGATGTTTCTTAGATTGTTCAGTTAAATTGAAAAATTGAATTTTTTAAAATTTACGTTGATTAATTTAATAATTTGTTTTTAGTTGTTGTTTAGTTTTACTTGCCAAGTAAATCTAATTAAGATTTGAAGTAAATGCCCTCGTACATTCACATAAGATAGTTTTATGTAAATGGAAAAAAGTAAATAAAATAAATTTAGTATTGAGGATTTAAATAAATCAGTTGGAACAAGGACACAATATACAAGTAGGAAACATATGGATAAAAATACAAGAGAATTCAGAGAATATTTTTATTTTCTGAGTCTTGCTGAAACTATTATTACACTATATTGTTATACGTAAAAAACAAAAAAAAAAAACAACAATAGAAACAGAGATGGAGTTATAATTTATTATCTTACGGATATTATCACATGATTTTGGATGCAGGGATGTGGTCTAAATTGACAGTTTTCAGCGAGACGACTTACACAAGCTAAAACATGGATGGATAAAATAATAAATAATTCAAATCGACAATAAATAATTCATAAAGAGCTTACTGTCTTGCAATATGGTTAGACCGCCTGCAAATTAAACAGGAAAAACTTCAAAAATTTCTTAACGTGTATTTATTCATTTAAGAGATGACATTGAAATTATGTACAAACTTTAAGGAAGACGAAAAGATAAGGCTACAGAGGCGAAAGAGAAATCTTCCAGACCTTTAGATTGAAAATTGAAATTCTCGAAACAAGAGATTTTTTCAAAGACTAAACTCATAAAATGGGAAAAATTTGGCTCTAATATGGCTGATAGATGGAACAAAGAGTGGTAGGAGAGGTAAAAGGACCAAATTTCTCCCAACCGAAATGCCTGGGGCATTAATTAACAAGCTGCGCCTGAGGAAATATAATAAAGTGATCCTAATATCACTTTATGTGGCCTCAAAGTCTCAAAAAAAAAAAAAAAAAAAAAAAAAGAAAGAAAAAAAAAGATTAAACTGGAGGTGTTGGCCCAACAGAAAGCTTTGCTCAAAGGGCAAAACTTCAAATTGACCCAATTTATTTTAAAAAAAGCATATAAACTCCAAAATATAAATCAAATAAAAAAAGCTCTCTGAAAGAAACAAAAAGGGATTTTTTTGTATCAGACAATTTTGCACAAGCCGATCGAGGTTCGAAAAAATGCAGGTCCATCCTCCAAGCCTGGTACAGAAGAGTCCTTCCATTGTCGTGAGGGGGTCTTCAGCTGATTATGCCCAAGGGCTGCCACAAGAATGCGATATATGTTTGTAGCAATTTTGGACTAGTCGACAAACTTACATTGGACCAAAGCGAATAAATCCCACCTCGGAAATCGAGGAAAGTTATAAGCCTCTAAACAGGGCCATTGCCCATTACCGGCTTGCGGTTTCAGCCAAGAAAAAACTGACAGAACATGCTTGTGACTGTGAAGCTTTAGCCTGGATAATTCCATGTTGTAAAGACAATGACTAAGAAAATTAGTAAAGTGGCACCTAGGAAAGTGTTCTAGTTTCTACATTGGGCTGCTTTTCCACAATATAAAGTTGGGTCTGCCCACAATAGATCTTAGATCAAATATTAAATCTACAAATATAAACAATATTCCAGCGAGGGAAAATCCTACATTTTGGATTTTTGTATAAATTAATGTAAATAAAAAATATAACGGGGTTTGAAGATTTACCTGTTGTTTTGAGCAGGTAGCGCATACCAATATCACCAACTTCTTTTATCTGTCATAATAATTTTATAATTTGGATTTATTAAATTACACCACATAATCTTCGACCTGTTCAACAGACTTTAGGCATGAGGTCTGAACTCAGTTTTAAAAAAGGTATTCATACCATTGGCTAATTTATTTATATTAAATTAAAATTCTAACAATGCTGAACAAAACACTCATACTCATTAAGTTTTTAAATAAGAAAGATAGCTTTGAGATAGTGAAGATCTGTTATAAGCAACCTTGAAAAATGGCGATATCCTCTTTATTAAGTTAATTAACTATCGGAAGATGTTTGCTCAAGGCTAACTTGCACGCAAAACCAAATTAAATCCGGATTATTACATGTTTCAAAGATTTGTTTAAATTTGTATTAAAAAAATTCAATTTATTATAGACTTAAATATAAGAGCACATTTTGTATTATTATTATTTTGTTATTAATTAGTTTTAACTTTAAACTTCAACTTTTGTTTTTTTAAAAACTTTAATAACTTGCAAAAGAGAAAAATAATAAATTTTCAGTTTAATGTTTCTTTAACATGTAACATAAGGTATGTAATTGTTAATAGGCTGATAGTCTTAATCTAGAGAAGATTGATTTTTTTCAACAACCGGTCGTAAAACTTGACAAATTGTAATGGAAACAAGAAAGGCTGATAAGCAAATAGTTCAAAAGTTATAAATCACGTATTTTTTAAAGCCTTGAAGATACCATTTTTATCTCAAAGGCGAAAACAAATTTTTGCATTATCATTCATTTTCAAACAAGCTTTTTCTCAAGAAATTTGGAACGTTGACTAAGTTTTTTTTTTAAACCTGTAAACCAGTTTTAAAAAAATGAAAAAATTTCATTACAAAATGGATTCGAAGGGTGAGATTGCATGTCTGAACATTGTGACAGTAAGAATAAGCAGATAATTGGTTCTGTTCCAATTTCACTATAAAATTATTGTCCAAGCTTCCAAGAGTTGGAAACGGCATGTAAACAGGACACTGTAATTTAAGGTTACTTTCCCCTCAGCTTAGCGTTTCAATAATTCAAATGGTTTAGGTAGCGTTTAACCACAAAAGTCTTTTGATAAAGCTCTTTTTTATACTCAAATAATATATTTTTTTGTGCAGCAGGTATATTGATGATGATGATGATGATGATATTAGGAAGTGGGGAGTTTTTTGTTTCCCAAGCATTGCAGCTTTCTGGTTAAGGACCTAATTATGTTTTTGCAGATCCTACTCTTGACCCATTACTCAAATTCCCTTGTGTCCTGGTACCCAAGATGGTTTTGGTTTTGGAGAGTTGGGATGCGCTCATTGACAAATTTTGATGTGATTTTTCTTTTTCATGCTAATGCTTTAATAGTTCCTTGGCTTTCTCATTTTATGAGGATTTTTCTGTCATTATAAATCTTTTTATCTTTATCTTTTTTAAAGATTTTCTTAGACACAAGTATTGATGGCATGTATTTCAGCTTGACAGATTGAGGTGTACTTCCTTAATGAGCTTGATTGCTCATGTTATGGGCTTGTATAGAAAGCGCCAGATCTGGTTCTTTCATTAATTTTGGAACCATATTTATACCATATCATTGTATCTGATTTCCTCCTGAATTCTTCTTCTCCTTTGTAGTCTTTTGAGACTGATCATGTAATCAGTCCCCATTTCTAAGAATGGGTGCCTGATTTTGTTAATTATTGTTGTACGCTTGAAGTGTTTAGTTCCCAACTAGTTTGATTGTTTCTGGAGCCTACACAAGCTTTACCTCACTTCTTGTATAATATATTTATTATTAGCCTTTATTAATTATACTAAATTTATTTGTTAGTATAAATTCTAAAAGATTCTCACCCTTTTGTTAGTGTTTGTGATGTATCATATCTCATGTGAATTAGTGTTAACTTCAAAGATTATATGTAAGTTTTTTTGCTTTCAATATTGGAACAGGTCCTCGGTTTCCTTTGGTAGTGGAGGTCCCAATGAGTCATAAGGCATGTTGCTCAATACTATCATCATGTCTGTCCTTCTTCTTTCTTTCAAGTAGTTTTGGTCAAATTACTATTTGGTCCCTGTAACAGAGCTCGTAAGTGATTAGACATTGTAGTTCATTGTTGATTGAAATACAATTTCTTATGTTTTGTTGCGTGTGGTCATACATAATTTTTTTAACGTGCTGGAGGTTTGCTTGAAGCACCCTCAACTTCAGTTTTGTATTGCTTTTCTAATGATCCTTAGATTTAGAGTTATCATCGCAAAGCCAAGATAAAGTAACAGGTTTGCTTTGCTTAGTGCCCCAGCAGGTATATTGCTGCATATTATAAAAAGTTATGAGGCGTTGGGGGCCATAACAGTTTACGCTGCTCCTAACTGTAAGGTAAAGGTACTGGGTTTCATTCGAACCTGACGTACTTACAATTGGGCCTTTTTTTTCAAAAACATCGGCACCCTGAGAGTTTATATGACCTCATAAAAAAAAGGTTCACTATTATTTATTATCATTGGTGAATTGATTTACAAGATTGCAATTACATGTAAAAAAAAGATGTGATTTCCTTTCAGCAGATTAATCAATATAAGTACAAAATAAAAGTTCATAAAAATTATATTATTCTTAAATTGATAATATTGTTATTTTTCTTCAATAGGTTGTTTTATTAAATTTATTTTTTATTAGTTCGCCTACAAGAAAGCCTAAAAAAGCAAAAAGGAGAAACAACAATAAAATTTTCTTATAAAAAAGATAAGAAATAATAATTTTGTTTATAGAGTTTGTAATCTGTTTAGATACATAAACAATTTATCTTCAGTTTTTAACATTTTCATTAAATAGTCGAAATTAGTCGAACTGCAACTAAATGATACACCTTTTTTTTCTATTACCTAGAGTACATATCTGACATAAATCTACATCGAACGGGTTGTAATTTATTCAGCACATTTGTCATTATATTTTATAAAACCTTTCATACATTTTTGTCAAAAGCGTTCAGTACTAATAATTTGAAGGTCTTTTCAAGTTTGTAGTTTTTCTCCTTTCACCTCGTGCTATTTTCTGTAATGTCTGCTGAAGCTACAACAACAGTTGTGTATTTCTAATGACTGTACTCGCACTGATATTTCTGTATAAAAACCTATGTAAGTTGTTTTAAAACTGTATTATTTACTGAATTACTACTGCAGAAATTTTTACAACTAGGATGGCTGCTGAAGCTATAATGCTATAGATAAATGTTTAGAGTTTAGATGCATACACCTTTTATTTTACATTTTTATTAAATATTCCATTTATTTTATATTTTAATTTTAAATATTTTCCAAAGAGGACAAACTGCTAAATGATACAAATTTTAACAAATTACACAAAGCATATCGAACTGTCTATAATTTAGTAAGCTATTTTGTCAACTATATTTTATTATAAAACCTTTACCACATTTTCCTCAAAAGTCTTCAGCACTTAGAATTTAAAGGTACTGAAATTACAACAGTCGTCCTTATCTGAACTCTCATTGATATTTTATTTTTAAACCTAAATAAGTTCACTGTGATGGCTGCTGATGTTACCAAAGCTATGGCAGAAATATCTGCTTCTTAACTTTGATGGCTGATGATGCTACAGCACCTGCAGTAGAAGAATTTTCTTCGTAACTATGATTGCTGCTGATGCTACAACAGCAGCAGAACCATTTACTTCCTAACTATGATGACCACTGAAGCCTCAACCACCTTAGGAGTTTCTAAGCTCTTGTTTTTAAAATCAAAAATAAGGTGATTGTCCACTGATGCCTACAACTGCTGCTTTTTGTTCACTTCTTTTTCTTCATTCTAATTGTTAAAACTTTTAAACATTTAAACAGATCACTTTTTATGTTCACACAATATTGCATTTCATGAGATTTTTTCCTGTGTTCTGTCCTGTGATACCTGTACATCTTGGTCTTGTCTTCCTCACTGGATTGGTCTGTGAGATGCGTTTCGGCATTTCACCATCTTCAGTGAGTCACGAACGAATCCAGTGAGGATATGCAGGCCAAGATGATTAGTAGGGATCAAATTACTATATAACATTGGTTAAACTTGTTGTAATGACAGGTTTTCAAATAAATCCAGAAAAGGCCAAAAATTCAATTTGTAAGAAACTGTGTAAAGCTATAAGAAATTGTCCTTGGAAGGGAAAATAGTTCGAGGCTTATTTTAAAGTTTATCGCTGACAGTAGCTAATCAAGGAATCGTCTTGAAAAATTGTCTACAATGACTTATGCACCAAGAAGTCAAATTGATTGCAAAGATTATTTGTAAAAAAAATGTCTTGTCAATCTTGAATATTATGTATGTCTATACCTTCGTTTTCCATATGAAATTGATTTTCAAATTATAAATATGCATGAAAACAGAGAGATATACAAAATTGAATAAAAATAAGAATGTTAGCCTAGTCATGACTTTTTCAACAAATTAAATTACAATTCTTGCCTGGCTTGTTTTATCAAAGAATTTTGGAAGAAGCTTTTATAGTGCTAGCGTTAGCTGAAATGATTAAATGTGTGGTGTAGCCAAAGTTAGCATTATTTAAATATTATACATATTTATTTTCTCGAATAAGTTAAAATTATTCCAATTCTTGCTTATTTTAAATAATTTTTTTCTTCCCAACAATTAAGTATTGTTTATATATTATAATGACTTTAAATTATTACTAATTGAAATGCAGAGTGAGACAATTGAATACATAATTGATCCTGACGTGTTGATCATAACAATGAATTTTGCATATTAATTTCCTTTGACGTCTATAAATAATTAATTACCGCTACCTTTTTGATAGCCATTCAAACCTCAAATTCTCCTGTATTCAGTTTTAAAAGGGCGGTGAAATTCCTGGACTGTTAAAAACTATGAGGTATAATCTTTTTCGACCTGAGGGAGAGGTAAAAGTGTCAAGGACAGTTTCTCAGGGGTTTGCACTATTTGCCATACATTCTCTTCTTGTGAAACATTCCTGCTCCATTTCAGAAATGCTTATGTAAAGGGTCAATGACTAAACCGTCGTTCTCAGAGTTTGGGGCGGCTTCGGTAAACTTTCACTTTTTGATTAAAAAATAAAAACAGATATGCAAGAATGCTTAGTAAAGGAGTCGTACGCATTCCTAATAGTCGACAGTATTGTTTTATAATTTCTCTGTTGCGATTTGATTATAAACATTGACTTTTTGGTTTAACAACTCATATCAAGTTTACATTTATTAAATGAAAAAACAATTTTTTTGACATCGCCTCAAGCCTAAATTGAAATTTTCATTATTCACAATCTCTTTACTTTTTATGTATGCAAAACAATTTAATATTGGTTTTTCCTATTTGGATTAAACAAATATTTATTCAAATGTGAAACCAGATGTCCATGAATAATTTGTGTACATGTTTTTCTTTAGCCTCCTTGAAGTAACAAAGAAATTTTGGAAGCATTAGGTTTTTTTCATTAATTTTTCTTCTCCATAACATTATTTAAAATATAACTAAATAGAAGTCTATTTTATATTACTGTACAATATACGATAGGATAATTTCTGATGGACATTATACGAAAAATTTTGTATCAAAAGCAGATCTGTGGTAAATGTGAATCATGATATTTGTATTTGAATCATGTGTATTTTTTTTTGTTTTTAACAAGATAAATTAATTATTTAAAAGAAAATAATTATATAATTATAATTTATTACAAGAAAATTACTCTATATTATACATTTAAAATGGTCTATTACATAAACAGTTGGGTTATTGATCTGTGAAAAGCTTTTACTTTCTTGTTATGCAATGTGCTGTGGTTTTGATCTTCTTTACTTGGTTTTGTAACGCTGTTTTAATAATTTTATTTCCTGTTTTAGTGATGTGCCCATTATGGCCGTTGCACATAGTGCTCATGTATTTGATGGCGCTGTGCCCGCTCTGGTATGTCACATGCCAGATTGTCGCCAAAGCATCGAAGTTCAGCGCCAAGTTTACACCTGGCGAACTGAGTTCACTTTATATGCAGAACTCTCAGACCGTCGGAGTGTCGACGAGAGATCTTAGCGACATGGAGATAAAAAATAGCATTATACGAGCAATTGTGTCGGATCAGGCTGTAGCGTACGTTCCGGATTCAGAAGTGATATTTACAAAGTCGAAAGAGGATTTGAACGATATCTGGAACGGGAGTTTTAACATCACGGGCAACTTTTTGGGTTTTACATCTGTTAAAATATGTGTTACAGACAAAAATGGTAATCATTTCATTTAAAATTTATTATTTGATTTTCTTTTATAGGATTGTAACTATTAATTTTTTTTTTTTTTTTTTTTTTTCAGGGCCTCAGAATGTCTGTACAAAAATGTCTGATGAGATGAAAGTCAAGGTATTGAGAAAACCCCGTTTCATCGATCATGTATTTACAGGAAGTGTAATTATTCTTGTTTCTGTGATATTCATAAATTTTGGGTGCGCACTTGATGTAAATAGCTTAAAACAAGCTATTTTGCGCCCTATTGGACCACTTATTGGACTGCTCAGCCACTTTCTATTTTTGCCTTTGGTAATAAAAATCAATAATGAACTAATATCGATTTTAAAATTAATTAACTCATGTTGATATCATATTTCAGATAAGTTTTGGTTTGGGAGAGCTCTTGTTTCCAGGAGAGTCAGGTAGTTCTATGAGATTAGGGTTGTTCTTCACTGGGATTTCACCAGCTGGGGGTGCTTCAAATATTTGGACTTACTCTTTGGGAGGCAACTTAAATCTCAGTGTGACAATGACAGCAGTCAGCACATTAGCATCTTTTGGTATGCCCTCTATTTTCCGATTTAAATTACCACAACTAATAATAATTGAATACTAATTTTTAATTATAGTGATGATACCACTTTGGGTGTTCACTTTGGGACCAGTTATATTTAGCAAAGGCACAATGGGTGTGCCTTATACTCGCATCCTGACGTCCGGTGCAGGTCTTATCATTCCCTTAACGATAGGATACATTATTCAACGCAATTGCAAAAGATTATCCGCAATTATGGTTCGCATCCTGAAGCCTTTCTCTGCGTTGTTGATCATATTTATAGTGGTTTTTGCTACTGTAACGAATATGTACCTTTTTCAGTTATTCTCTTGGGAGGTGTGTATAGGATTAAAAGAATAAGAGCACTTTTATTTTTATGATTTTTTTTTAGATCATTATCGCAGGAATCGGTTTGCCATTCCTAGGATACCTGGCTGGTCTGATAAGTGGGAAATTGTTTAGACAACCGCCAGAGGATGTTTTGGCAATATCGATTGAAACAGGAGTTCAGAATACAGGGATTGCGATATTCCTCCTGAAATTCTGTTTGCCACAACCTCTGGCAGATTTGACGACAGGTAAAAGATTTATAAATATAAACTTAAAACTTTAGTAAACTTAAAAGTCTTTGTGCATGAAAACTTCATTTAATCTTGTGCATATAATTTTTACCTTGCATTTTACATAACTTCATAATCCAATCATATTTTCATTTAACACATTAATTATGGCACTATTGGTACTATGACATTATGGCATTGTAAGGACACTATTTCTGTTAAATGGGCTATAATAAACATTTTGCTAATTATTTTGTAACATTAGATTTTTGGGCATGTCATTCCTTGGAATGACGTCTGCATATTCGGTAGGTCAGGTTAAGCAAACCAGCAATATCTGTTCTTTACCCACCCAATATTTTTGTACGCCTACCTGTATATTATGAAAAAAATTAGCTAATTATGTAATTCTACTTACTAACCTTTAAAAAATGTAAAAAAAATATGGGAAGGTGGATATAAATGAATAAAAGCTGAAATTTACATTATATTTGCTTGAAATTTATTACTTATATATCACATTTATTTGTGATAATTGCAAATAATATTCAATTAATAGGTTTTTAAGTTGAGATAAAAAGTCAGTGTCACGAGCTTCAAAAGGTGGTGTTGAGATGGGAAGTTAGTGGCAGAGGGGATCGAAGTCATTTTTATCTCAACTTAAAACCTTAATTAATTGAATGTTATTAATTGGTCAAGTGGGCCACGAAAACTAGTGAATTGTTTCCACTACTACTTTGGATTTTCCTAAAGTTTTTTTTAGTGTTGGCTAAAATGAAGTACACTTCACTAAAGCTCTCCGTGGCCATCTCATTTGTCGCCGAGAATCCAATCTCATTACACGACATTTGAAAAATGGCAAAAAGGAGGGAAAATTCAAAAGGTGGGGTTGAGATAGGAAGTTGATGTCCGAGTGGATCGAGGTCATGATAGCTCAAGTGGTAGAGCAGCGGCGTATCAAGCCGAAGATCGTGGGTTCGAATCCCGCTCGTGCCATTGACATTTTATCTCAACTTAAAACCTTAATTAATTGAATGTTATTAATAGGTCAAGTGGGCCACAGAAAATAGTGAATTTAATTGATTAAAATGAAGTACACTTCACTAAAGCTCTCCGTGGCCATCTCATTTGTCGCCGAGAATCCAATCCCATTACACGACATTTGAAAAATGGCAAAAAGGAGGGAAAATTCAAAAGGTGGGGTTGAGATAGGAAGTTGATGTCCGAGTGGATCGAGGTCATGATAGCTCAAGTGGTAGAGCAGCGGCGTATCAAGCCGAAGATCGTGGGTTCGAATCCCGCTCATGCCATTGACTTTTTATCTCAACTAAAAAACCTTAATTAATTGTAATGTATTAATTAGTCAAGCGGATCACAAAATTACTGAATTTAATGATTTAAAATGACATATACTTCACTAAAGCTCTCCATGGCCATTTCATTTGTCGTCGAGAATCCAATCCGATTACACACATTTGAAAAATGGCAAAAAGGAGGGAAAATTCAAAAGGTGGGGTTTAGATGGGAAGTTGGTGCCCGAGTGGATTGAAGTCACGATAGCTCAAGTGGTAGAGTAGCAGCGTATCAAGCCAAAGGTCGTGGGTTCGAATCCCGCTCGTGACACTCACTTTTTATCTCAACTTAAAAACCTTAATTAATTGAATGTTATTAATTGGTCAAGCGGACCACGAAAAATAGTGAATTTAATTACAAATAATTAAACACATTTTTAAAATGATTATTATGTATCCCGGGCACGAGGGTAAACTGCGTCCACATACAAAACACACATATACTGACACAAGCAAATCATCAGGCGTATGCCCCTAGGAGAACTTATCCTGCTGCGTGTGTTGGGATTGGCAGACTCGGACTGGGGCATTGATGGTGTGCAGTTGGGAGGGGGGCTTCCTGGGCTGTTTTGCTGAGTGGTGAAGTCTGAGAGGTGTGGTTGGCAGTGCACACAAGCACATCCCTCCCAAAGCCCCTGTATCCCTGTATTAAAGGGACTGTACCACACATGGACCACATAGGGTTACCATCCCTTTCCCACTCTTGCCACCTGGGCAATATTCCCAGGACAGTAACAGTTGAGTGAAGAGAGCAGTAAAGGGTGTGCCCCCCCACCTGGTTTATAGCGTTACAAGCAAATTGGAAAAGGCCATATCCCAGCAAAGTCTATGGTGGAAGCTGCCCTGTAAGTCAGCAACCCTCAATAACGGTGTGAATGGTTGCACAGCTGTTGAAGAAAGTAATACTGAGACTTGTCAAGGAACTAGGATGGGAAATGATGAATGGTCACCCTCTTCTTCAAAAACAAAGAGAGTAGACATTGGCTAATTTAAGACTGAGAAGGCAGTAAAACGAACGTCTATGCCTACATTTCCAGCGTTACCTGCCCAGAAGAGGCGGTCAAGAGGAAGGAAGGAATCTAAGTGAAGAAAAGAAACAGACAAAGAGAAGAAAGAGAAAGAAAATTCTTGATGATTTGTCGCTGGTTCTCAGTTTGATAAGGATTAATCTTCTGGCCGAGAATTATGTCATTGCACGGAAGGAGGGGAGCTTCCTATCCATCTGCTCCTTCCTTTTGATGATAATCGGTCATTTGACCAGGCGTCATGAGACAAAAGGGTTTTTCAGTCAGTATCAGGCGGGATTCTGTAAGCATTCTTCCACAGTCCATCTTGCTTGCCTTCTCGAGTGACATTCAGAATACATTTCTGAATAGAGAGCACGATCTGGCTGTGTTATTTGATCTCGAGAAGAGTATGATACGACGTGGAATATGTGATTCTTCGGAAATGTTTGGATATTGGATTTAGAGGCAAATTACCCTGGTTCCTGTTGAAGACCTCTGCTGTTTTCTTTCAGGGAAAGACCTAACAGAAGGCAGAGGGGTGACAAAGCGGCTAAGACTGGGTCCCAACCTCTGGACCTCTGTCAGTAAGAATGCAATAAAAAAAAACAAATAAAAGGAGGTGCAGAAGCTCTCATTTATCAAGAGCACTGTCAATGAGTGGATCTGACTAGTAGAAAAAGGGTCATCCTCACCCGGTTAAGAATAGACCAGAAAGTTTACACATGGACACTTACTTTTGGGCCAAAACCCGTGTCCACCATGCAGAGAAAGGTTGCTTGATGTGTCTCACCTAATTGAAAGGTGCAATTCCTCGGCTCCATATAGCATGTAGGAATGATTTGAGAATTGAGCTTGGGTTCGGCAGCGAGTATTTGGGTTCGAGTATTCTTGGAGGAAATGATGTTGGTTTGTATGTAGTAATAATAGTTCTGTGTACCTAGTTAGTGTTGAGAGTGAATGTATTCATTAGCATGAAAGTGTGATATGAGAGGGTTGATGGCACATTGGCGGAATATCAATTATTACATACCTATTCCAGTATGTAACAAATAAAATATGCTTTTAAAACATATATTAAAGTAAAATCTGAACGTGTAGTACAAAAATGCCAATTATTTACAAATTCAGTAATTCCATATTTTCAGTAGTTCCATATTTACTACTTATTAACAATTATTTACAAAATCTTACATACTGATTATTTATGATTAATTAATTTAAAAAAAAAAAGCGAGGGAGCAAAAAGCCAAAAAGATGAACAAAGAAATTTCTTTGACATGCTTGATTAAACTTCAAATAAAAGTATTTTTGAGAAAAAAAATATAAAAACTACACTGTTATGAGGAAAAAAAATTGTTTTTACCAAAAAATTATAAAATAATATCTAAAAGGTCAAATTGTGAAAAATGATCTCCACAGTAACATGACAAAGCAATGCTAAAGGCCTGTGAATCCAATCTGGGGAGGGAAAAACATCTTCAGTGAGGAACCTAGAATGGAAGAGTAAAAAAAAAAATAAATAAATAAAAAAAATAAAAAAAGTTCAACCTGGTCAGACTATGGTACTTCAATTTAAATATTTTCTGAATGAATTGACCAATGCTAAATGTGGAATATTGCCAAAATGAGTAAAAATTGATATAATAATTTTTTTGCTAGAGTAAACCATATATTTGAACACAAATGTGATGTACAAGGACTTTTCTGTTGTGATTACTCTTCATGACATCTGCAAACAAAACTAACTGTTAAATTATTTAATTTTTTCTTGTTGACAGTGATACCGGTATGCGTGGCACTGATGACACCTCTGCCTTTGTTGATTTTACTCGCCGCAAGAAAAATCTTGTTCGCAGAATCAAAAAAGGAGAAAGTCACTACAAGCACAGACGACACGTTACCTTGCCTTGAAAAACTGAAATCCCCCAATACACGGTATTAGTGCCTTCATCGTTATCACAAAAACCAGCCCATCAGCGATAGATAATCTAGTAGAACATTAGATTTTTTCTAAGAGTAGGAAAAAAATTGTAGGACAAATGATTTTTGTGTGCATTTTTAAAACTTGAAACTGCCTTCTGTTCTTTAAGAACGAAAATCAATCTTTGCACTTTGGGTCGACTCGCCAAGTTTCTAATAATAAGTTTTCAAAATGATTTATTTTATGACATCACTTCAAATAAATCATTTTTTTGTTAATTTAAAAATGTAAACGATTACATTCGAAACAACTTGTACTGCATTTTTGATATTGTCATTCCGATGTTTGACCATGACAATTATTAAATTATAATTAATTTATTTTGATATTAAATTATGTTTTTATGTTGACTGCGGTGATTTGTAAAACACGCCGAACACCATTAACCAAATAAATTACTTATTAGAATGCGACTGCATTATGAGAAATAAATGAACAGTTTAAAAATTGTAATATAGTATTTATTGTATAATCTGTGTTTAAACACCATTGAGAGAATTTTTTTTAAATGTAAGCAGTAAAACGCATGGATTATTTTATGTTATTAAAAATTGTTCGGTCAAAACATCTATGTCATTGTAATTACAAAATTTACATTTCATATTAAAGGAGAGACCCATTGTGCAAGGGTATTACTACTTAATTAAGTCAGCAATCATGAGAAATGTTCAAATTGTTAAATTAAGAAAAAAGAACTAAAAATCTAAGTACCTTGAAAAAATATATACAGCTTAATTTTATAATTGTTTTTTAAAGAAATAAAACACTGATTTTGTACATGTTTTTTCCCCACCACCTTTTATTCTTATTTCAGATAGAAAAATTAAGAAAATTATAGTTTTAAGGTTTAAATTATGTTTTAGTCAGAGCAACATTAACTTACCAGTCCTACTCAGTGAGTAACTTTGTTACTTGTATAAATTACCAGTCTTACAAGTCCGTCTGAATTCGTTACTTGATATTTTTTACTTACAAACTGGATATATTTTGAATATATTTTACAAGATGTTAGAATGAATATTTTGACTGATGTGTGTTGATTAGTGACCGTTAGTCTATGATTATTGAGAAAACCTGAGATGCAGTCTGGTGATGTAGGTTTGAAATAGTTCGACTGAATATAAAAAATATTTTTTTGCATTGTATAAATTCACTTTTTTCCACATCCTATAGGTATTTGTTAAATCCTAGACCCTGAAGATGATAAAGAAAAGGTTTTTCTGAAACTACGTCACACCAGACCGCAGATTTCCGAATAATAATTTTGACTGATTTCAAAAGGAAAAGGAGCAAAATAAATATAATAATAAAACAATTCAGATTTCTATTTAGAAACTGAATAGAAAAATTGTTCTAATTTTATATCTGGTTAAACTCGATTATTTTTTGAATTGCACTTTTAAGAAAAAGTAATTATGCATCAAAAAACTAGTTCGGAACTTTGCTGTGATATTACAGTATGTAACTGTTGAGTACTGTTAAATGTTGGGTGGGATTAAAATGGGTAAATTCATCTTGACATGCTCTCAACATCAAGGCAAAAGCACTTGAAAAAACAATATAAATTAAATTTTTTTTAAATTTAATTAAAACAATATGAAAAATTTTGCAGATGTTTCTAGAAGGAATTCCACTGATTGTGGGATTGGGTCGATCAGGATTTTATGAAATTTCGGATAGCAGGTTTTTTTTTACAGGGCGACACTTTCCCGGCTGGGGGGGGGGGTCGAGAAAGCCGGCGCATTCCAGGAAAGTCAAAACCAACTGGCCAGGAGACAGCATTTCACGAAGTCAGAAATCCCGTCGAGGAGGTGGAGAGGCAGCTTATCCTGATAGAAAGGCCGGAGCTAACCCAGTTCGGCGTCGAAAGGGCCCACGTGGGTTTATGAAGTAATCCGGCCGGGCTCGTGAGCACGTCTGTGTGCTTGCGTGTGTGTGCGCGCAAGTGTGAAAGGGGTCGACGTCCCCCTAGGTCGCGAAGGCGGATTCTTAGCAAGGCCGCTTTCTCCACGCAGACGTGTCCCGTGTGGACAGTTTTGTGGCAGACATGCTGTCATTGCTTCTGACCATAGATTTATTATAATGGAAAGTTTTATGTGGATTAATCAAAAAAATCAAAAGAAATACTTGCATTGCATTAAAAGCGATGAAGCAACTAATTGTAATAATAAAATAATGGTAACTGTAATGTTAGATTTTTAGTCTTTTATCCATACAAGAAACCATTCTTTCTTTAGTTCTTTCATTTATTCAAAATCGAGTGAAAGTTGTTTTTTCTATTAAAACTAAAAATTGGGGCGATTTGACTTTTAACTGAAAGAATTTAAACTTCATCTTGGATAGAACACCGACCTCGCACCTTCGGACTACTGTTTCCAGTCCATTTCTCGCTTTTTACTGGGACAACCATGTAAGATATAAGAAGATGACTGTTGATCGTGGATCTGAAAAATTGACAAAAATAGAAGAACTTTTTTGCCAAACCATGCTTATAACCCTGACGCGCCATTTGACTATCGTCTTTCAGACTTTGGGACAACACCCTAAATTTGAACATGTGCCTTTCCAATTTCTTTCCACAGCCCTAGGATTTTAATTTAAGCTGATTCAGCTTCCATAAGCTATGATCATCTGCCATTTCATTGGTCCTCCTCACTTGCTATATCCTAGCCACACTCTTCAATGGTTTTCCTAGTTCAAGGCGGTAGAGCTTTAAAAGGATTTCTACTTTTATCCACACAAGAAAACATACATTTTAAGTTGTGACAGGTCGATTGAAAGTTTTTTACTTAAAAATTTACAAATGATTGAACTAAGTCAATGAAAATTTGGCGATTTGAGTTTTGACAGGTTAGAATTAAATCTTCATCTAGGATAGAACACCGACCTCGCACCTCGGACTACTGCTTCCAGCCTATGCCTCGCTTTTTATTGGGCCAACCATGCAAGAAAATGACTGGTTGATCGTGGATCCGAAAAATTGAAAAAATAGAAGAACTTTTTTGCCAAACCATGCTTATAACACTGACGCGCCATTTGACTATCGTCTTTCAGACATTGGAACAATGCCCTAAATTTGAACATGTGCCTTTCCAATATCTTGTGACAGGTCGATTGAAATTTTTTTTAGTTAAAAATTTAAAAATTGAACCAACTCAATGAAATTTGAGCGATTTGAGTTTTGACAGATTAGAAATAAAACATCATCTAGGATAGCACAGCGACCTCGCACCTTCGGACTATTGTTTCCAGTCTAAGTCTCACTTTTTATTAGGACGACCATGTAAGATTAAAAAAAAAAAAAGATTAATGTTTTTAACAACTTTATCGCCTTTAATCGATCATGGATTTGAAAAATTGACAAAAATGGACCAACTTTTTGTCACACCCTGCTTACATCCCTGACGCGCCATTTGACTATTGTCTTTCGGTCATTGGAACATGTTCTAAATTTGAACATATGTCCAGTGGACGGAAATGTGAAGTGTTTAGCAAATATTTTCGATACAGTTGGGTCAGGAATGTAATAGTGCGTTAATTTTGTTCTATTTTTAATTAACTTTAGGGGTTTCAAAAAGGAATATTTATAAAACTATTCTGATTAACTACAAGCAACAAGACAACAGTCATACACATTGTTCATGTTTGGTAAGAGCAAAGTGGTGAAAATGAAAGAAGATATCGTGCTTCACCCTGCTTATTCGCCTGACAATGTATAATTTTGGTTGCAAATTTTATATACGTGTTTTAGGTTAAAAATTATTGTTATGGCCAGTAACTTTTATATTGGATGTTCAGTCTTCTCAGATAACGCTGGTGTATCCCGAGGTAACATTGTAGGCCCTACCCTTTTATCAATTTACAGCCATGATTTCCTTACATATTCGATAACAGTATTTATAGCCTTTCATCCTTTTTTCACATTCTAATCCTGTCGTCTCCCACAGAAATCTTGAAACAGATATTTCCTTGCTGGAAGTGTGATATAAGAAGTTGAAGGTAAAAATAAATGAGACCAAAAGTAAATATTTAAAGTTTTGTATTTTGACGAAACCTCACTACACGTTTTCTTGACAGGCGACTGACACGGAACCACACACTTGGCTAAAACGATGATGCTTATTACTCGCCATACTACTTGGCCAGCTGTCTGAACTTCTATTGACTTAAAACTTACGTACTTTGGGGTTCAACCTAAGCTCCAATATCCATGGAATCTAGACCCAACAATCCAAGGTATAAAAAATAGTTGATTGCCCTTTTTATATGTTCACTCTCAATCATCATCATCCAGACAGACTTCAACTTTCGTCCATGGCCTGGCAACTCTACTACAACCTTTTCAACGTATCTCGTTGTAACCTAATTTGCATAACTCCAGTGGGTGATGATTCCCTGATGTAATGAAATTATGCAGTACATATTGCAAATAACATATTTACTTATTGTAATTTTAGTATAGTAGAAAAAAAAACCCTGTTTTATTGGAAGTTCAAGTTATGCTAGAGGTTTTAATCAATTAGGATACCATGCCAAGATTTGACTCAAATTCCAGTTAAAATTTAGAGAATCTATATAGTAGATATGAATATTTACATATATTTACAAATGCAGCTTTGGAAACATTATCACCGGTAGCACGAGGTCAATTGGCTCGACCAGAGGTTTTAAAATGAAATGTTTCAAGGTGTTTTGCAAGTCAGTGTTATCTAGTCAATGAGACATAGCTCTAAAGTTGAACACGTGCCTTTTGAATTTCATTACTTAGTCCTAGATTTTAATTTAAACTGATTCAGCTTCCATAAGCTCTGGTCATCTTCCATCTCAGTGGTTCTCGTCAGTTGCAGCATCCTATCCACGATCTTCGATGGTTTTCACGGTCCATGTTTCACTTGTTGACAAGGTGATTGTGTATTTGTCTTTACCCTTTAATCGCCAAACTAAAGATGGAATTAATTGCGACTACCCATGTTTATCATCGTTCGCGTTTGACACAAGCAAAATTGACAGAAATGGGAGATGGCTTGTTGCCACACCCTGCTTATAACCCTGACTTGCCCTTGGCCTATCATCTTTTCAATGGAACAGAAAACGAGCTAAATTAAACAACACCCTAACCTTGAACAAGTGCTTTTCAAGTTTCTCTCCATTCACCTAGATTTTACTTTAAGTTAATTCAGTCCATAAGGTTTGGTCATCTCAGTGGTTCTCGTTAGTTGCTACATCCTATCCACGATCTTCGATGGCTTTCATGGTCCATGTTTCACTAGTTGACAAGGTGATTGTGTATTTGTCTGTACCCTTTAATCGCCAAATAAAGATTGAATTAATTGCGACTACGCGTTTGACACAAGCAAAATTGGCAGAAATGGGAGATTGCTTTTTGCCACACCCTGCTTATAACCCTGACTCGCCCTTGGCCTATCATCTTTTCAATGGAACAGAAAACGAGCTAAATTAAACAACGCCCTAAACTTGAACACGTGCTTTTCAAGTTGCTTTCCATAGACCTAGTTTTTACTTTAAGCTAATTCAGCCCGTAAGCTTTGGTCATCTGCCATCTCAGTGGTTCTCGTTAGTTGCTACATCCTATACACGAACTTCAATGGTTTTCATGGTTCATGTTTCACTTGTTGACAAGGTGATTGTGTATTTGTCTGTACCCATTAATCGCCAAATAAAGATTGAATTAATTGCGACTACGCGTTTGGCCCAAGCAAAATTGACAGAAACGGGAGATGGCTTTTT